TTCCCTGCTTATCAGATATATTTACATTTATGCAATTTTTTTAATAGAAAAATTCTGATAAAGGCCTGAAGTTCAGGAGTATATTGCTTTAGATTCTTTCCAGTTCGCTTTTTTGTATAAAGTTCTGTTCTTTGAACCACAGCTTTATTATGGTACTTTACACTGGATACAGACACAGAGACACTGTTCAGAGGATGAACTAAACACAGCAGTGGTCTGGCATCAAGAGCTTTCTGAAGTTTTACAGCCTGAATCTGGAGGGATAACAATCTGCTGTGCCTTTGCAGTCACTGCTTAGCCCAAAGTAATAGTACTTTTGATAATAACTTCACTATGTGGGATATTCCTGAATAAGTCAATCTCAAAAGTTTGGAATTTTCCTCCTCTTAACTTTCTTAATATTTGGACATGCAGTTGTCGCCAAACTTGGGTATTCATGGAATTTCTAGTTAATGAAATACCTATACTTTGATACTGAAGACTGCCAAATACATAGGAATTTTCTTTCACAAAAAAACAGTAATGAAGACTCTGTCTCCTTTCCCAGCACTGAATGTTTTACTAGCACTGGGTGCTCACCATGCAACTATGAAGAAAATGTGGAAACTCAAAAGGTCAGGAAAGACTTCCAAGCACTTGCAACTGATGTTACGGTCTTCAATTTTAATAATTATACATATTTGTAGTTTTCAGAGAAGTTTTTAATATTTCTCTGTCCACTTTTTATAAGCTTTAAAATGATTTTCTCTGCCTTGAGATTTGCATCAAGAAAAAAACACCTCACCTGAAAGCATTGAAGACTAAAGACACGCTTTACACATTTTAACAAGTGTGTTTGAGTCCACGTTTGGTAGCATCAGTTGTTGAGTTAAAAAGAAAATCAATTATTGCATTTGATCTGGATGGATTTTAAAGGAACATAATGTTCAGTATTCAAAGGATAATTAACATTTGCCACCATAATGTTCTTTTTTATGTAAAAGGAACAAGAACTTGGAGACGTTAACATGCAAAAGTCTTTTATCATTAGCTCATGTATTTGAGGAAGAGCAGCTGTCTTTTTATATGTTTTTTGACAAATCATATTGTAATTCTTTTGTACAAAAAAGAACTACTTGTATTCTAGAAGAAATATGAAATGCTTAATTTATAAGCGGGCTGGAGATTTTTTCCAATATTGTTTTCTTTGAAAATGAAAGGGGATCATCTATTTTAGTTTTGGGGTCTGGGAACTTTTTGAAAATTTAATTTGTGGACCAATGTTTTGTGAAAGCTAAGGAAGGGCAGGGGTAAAATAGGGCTTGAATTTCTCATCCTGTATAGACCAGCAAACTTCCCTCTGCAAGGCAGGTTCAAATCACAAACCCAAGAATGTTTGCATCCTAAGTGCTAGTTTGCTTCAGCCCCTAGTAACCTCAGGACTTGGTTTGAATATAAAGGTAGACAGCTGATATGTTTTCATGAGTAAATATTGTCGCCAGAAAACAGTTGGTGTCAGGTAATACGTATTTTTTTTAAGCCTTGTTTTATATTTATTTTTCATTTAGTTTTTATTGGGAATGGTTTTCAGTAGAACTCTTAGTTCTGCTTAGGTGTTTTTTGGGGGAGCCCTCTTTTCCATAGTGTAATTCCATTTAAGAGGTTGTCTAAAAAGTTAGTCTTTTTAAGTCATAGGAAGATTTTAATATCTGAGAGTAGTCAAATTAAGGATATAAACTTCCCATACCTTCTGTCATGACAGATCAAAGCACAGAAAGGACAACCCTTGAAATCATGTAACGGTCATTTCAATTTTTTGTACCTATTTTAAATTCTGTTAGTGTATTTACTTCATTGTAAATATTTTTGAGGGTACCTTTGTATTTTGCTTTTGACCTTGGTTCTGTGGTTTGGATGTCAGCAACTTCCCTAAAAGCACCAGTATGTTAAGTTCTGATGTTTATGATCCCAATATGGGTTATTCATCTTTAATCCTGTTTTCAGTCTCTATGTGTACAGCCGTATTTTTAATAAAGAATTACAGAGAAGTTTGTTGTTTTTTTGGTACCAGTTTATTTAACAAGATGATGTTTGCCTTATCGGGATTTCAAAGACTGAATACTTCCTGTGTGTTTGGAGGAATTGTTGGTGGCATGTTTATTCATTAATTTACCAGATATCTGTGAAATGCCTACTTGGATCTATTCTAGGTACTAAAAATGCAGATATGAGTACTTGTTATTTATAAAGTGCATAGTTATACTCACACATTTCTATATAATACATGGCTTTTACAGTGTAGTTTAGGAAAGAAGACTTACTTATGTGAAAGGATAGGGAATGATATATGCCTAGCCTTTGATTCAGTACTTCAGTAATTTACTATATAGGTGAAGAGTGCCCCTCCCCGCAAGTCTTCCAGAAACATTATTCAGAATATAAGAACAGAGTTTAAAAATGGCAAAAATGTTAACATTTGTTGAATCTGAGTACCTAGTGTTTATTTCCTGTACATTTGAAAAGTTGAAAAAAAATACAGAATTGAGAGTGATAAGGGACTTGAGACCTAGGTGAAGGGTAACTAGTAAAAGAGGAAGGAGGGATTATTTTCAGCTGAAGGAACTGGTGAGTTGCTTTTAGAAATTCAGAGGAGAGAGAGTAAGTGTAGAAGGATCTTGTGGGAAAAAAAAAAAATCCATGAATTTGATGGCAGATCAAGATGACCATTGTAGATTTGTGGGGAAGACTAGTCCACCTAGAATAGAGGGTGTTTTGGGGGTTTTAAATCTTTTAGATTTAAATTTCATAAGAGAAAACACTAAAAATACTGTTCAAGCTAGGCCAGTGTGACATCTCATACACTCTGGTGAATGGACATACACAACGGCTTTATTACTTTCTTCTTTGCTCTGAATGGTCAAAGACAGGCGTTTTCCCTCCACCTTCAGCAATTGCACAATGAGAGGTGTATCTGTAAAATATCCTTCTGTATAAGTGTGGGGGAAGGGGTGCGGTGAAGAAAGATTTATTTATTTTACAAAAGACTTCTTTATTTTTAGAGAGAAAAAGAAAGAGCATGAATGGGAGGGGCATAGAGAGGGAGAGAGAATCCCAAGCAGACTCCACACTGAGCACTGAGCACAGAGCCTGGCGCGGGGCTTGATCTCATGAGCCTGAGATCATAGCCTGAGCTGAAACCAGGAGTTGGATGCTTAACTGACTGCACTACCCAGTCACCGCAGTGAAGAAGGACTTTCAAAACACATGTCCTTAACATTTATTAAAAACAGTCTCTATGATGGTTAAGAAACCAGCTTGCCAGAACAAGACTACCTGAGTTCAAAAACTGGCTCTGCCACTTAGAGCTCTGTGATCTTGAGAAACCATTTACCCACAGTTGAATGAATTGGGATTCACTCATTCATGAAATATTTATTGAATGCCTATTAAATGTCAGGCATCGCTCTAGAGGAACCAACAGAACAACTCTGACCACAACAGACAAATATTTCTGCTCTTACAGAGTTTCCACTCTAGCGGGAAGAAAACAAAGTACATAGTACATTAAGAGGTAATAGTGGCTATGGAAAGAAAGTAAAGTAGGATAAAGGACGTGGGTGGAGTTACCATATTTAGCGAATAAAAATAGAGAACACAAAGTTGAATTTGAATTTCAGATAAACAATGGATAATTTCTTTTTTAGCATAAGTATGTCTCAGGTATTGCATGGGACATACTTGTCTTAAAAAATTAATTTGTTGGGGTGCCTGGGTGGCTCAGTCATTAAGCATCTGCCTTCGGCTCAGGTCATGATCCCAGGGTCCTGGGATCAAGTCCCACATCGGGCTCCTTGCTCAGCGGGGAGCCTGCTTCTCCCTCTGCCACTCCCTGCCGCTCTGCCTGCTTGTGATTCCTCTCTCTCCCTGTGTGTCAAATAAATAAATAAAATCTTTAAAAAAAAATTAATTTGTTTATGTGAAATTCAAATTTGGTTATCCCTGTGTTTCATCTTGCAACTCGAGATGTGGGGAATGTGGTGGTGGTGTTAGAATTTCAAATGGGATGATCTGGGTACCAGCCCTCACTGAGAAGGTGATATTCAAGCAAGGACTTGAGGTAATGGAGCCAGCCATGCAGATACCTGAGGGAGAAGAATTCCACATCAGGATGTGCCAGGAGTATATGAGGAATGGCAAAGGGGCGTGTGTGGCTATAAAAGTGAAGTCAGGTAATGGGGAAGGAGGGTAGTGTTCTGTAGACCATTTTAGGACCATTTTGGCTTTGACTCCCATTGAAGAGAGAAGCTGCAGGAAGACTTTGAGTGGAGGAAAAACGTGATAATTACAAAGGATCTCTTTGGTTACTAGTTAGGAAGTTCTTGCAATATTTTGAGCAAAAGAGAGGGATTTGGACACACGTGTTAGTACAGGCGGCGTGAAGTGATTAGATTCTGAATATATTTTAAAATTAGAGCCACAAAGGACGTCCTGATTATTGGATATGGAGTGAGAAAAGAAGTCAAAATGACTGTTAAGATTTTGACCTGATACTGACAGGAAGGAGGATTCTACTGAATTGAAAGAGATTGTTTTAGAAACAAAGGTTTTTGTGGAGGGTGGGCAAGGATGGGGAAGTGAGGAAAGACAAATGGGAGTTTGGTCTGGGACCTGTTACATTTCAGATGTTCAGTACTCATTTGTTCTGGTTACTTATTTTGTAATGAATGACTCCGAACTTAATGGCATAAAACACCATTTTATAATTCTCAGGAATTCTGTGGGTTAGGAATTTGGGACAGGGCACAGCTGGGATGTCTTATCTCTATTCCATTATGTTTGGGGCCTCTGCTGGGAAAATTCCAGTGGCTGGGGGCTGAAATCATCTGGTCTGGTACTGGGACTGAATGACTTAAAAGCTGGGCTCATCTGGGGACCGTCAGTGGAAGCACCTACACGTGACCCCACCCTGTGGCTCAGGCTTCTCCAATCATGACGACTGGGTCTCTAGTTTGAGCTGCTGCTTTTTTTTTTTTTTTTTTTTAAAGATTTTATTTATTTATTTGACAGACGCAGCGAGAGAGGGAACACAAGCAGGGGGAGTGGGAGAGGAAGAAGCAGGCCTCCCGCGGAGCAGGGAGCCCGATGCGGGGCTCGATCCCAGGAGCCTGGCATCATGACCGGAGCCGAAGGCAGACGCTTAACGACTGAGCCACCCAGGCGCCCCTCTAGTTTGAGCTTCTGGAGCATGAGTGTACCAGGAGACTCGGGTGGAAAGGGCATGATCTTTTCTGACCTGGCCTCAGACTCATGCAGTGTCACTTCTGCCACAGTCTGTTGATTACAATTGAGTCACAAAGGCATCTCGAATTCTAGGGGAGAGGAATTTGATGGGGAAGTGGCAAGGGCATGTTGCCAAAGGTCGTGTGGGATGGGAGATGTTATTGCCATTATTTTTGGAAAATCCAGTCTGCCACCGCATCAAGAGATGTCAATTCAACACGTATGCATGTGAGTTTGGAGTCTGGGGGAGAGATCTGGTCTGTATGTGTAATTTGCAAGTCATTATATAGATGTCATTTAAAGCCCTGAGATTGGTTGAGATCATGAAGGGAGTTAGTATAGATGGAGAGGAGAAAAAAGTCCAAGGGCAGAGCCCTAGGGTAACTGGAACAATGTTCAAATGTCAGAGACAAGAGGAAACCAGTTAGAGGGACAGAAATGACCCATGAAATAGGAGGAAATATGTGTGACGTCCTGGAATCAAGGTTAAAATGGATATTTTCAGGAATAAGGGTCAAGTTGTTGATGAATCAAGAAAGATTGAGACTGAAAATTGGCCGTTGGATTTAGCAATTTGCAGGTAACTGATCATCTTATCAAGAGCGGTGTCCATGAGTGTGACAGAGAAAGCTAGGTTTGAGCGGGTTTAAGAGTACTTCGGAGGGATCGGAAACAGAGACTAACCACTTCAAGGAATTTTGCTGTAAAGAGGAGTAAAGAAATGTATTGGTAACGAGGGGAAAGGAAGAATGGAAGTTTGTTTTGTAACACGGGAGAGTGAACAGCATGTTTGTCTGATCTAGTGGGAACGGGACCAGTTGATGGCAGTGAGGGAGTGCTGAATTTCTGGAGCTGTGTCCCTGAGGATAGGAAGGCATCCAGCTGTGTCAGGACATGTTTTGAACTGGCCATCCACAAGAGAGGGCTGACTTGCATGAGTTCAGGTGCCAGCAGGCGGGTAGATGTGAGGGTGAGATTTTGAAGTTCTCTTGATTACTTAAATCTTTCCCTTGATGTGGGTACAACTAATGGTACCAGTCACATTGGGTTGCTTTGAAAATTGAATGAGTTTGTTCCTCTAAAGCACTTAGAATAGTTGCTGGCCCCTGAAGTTAATCTGTTTTTGTCTGAGATTAAGCCCTTACTCTTTTTTAAATGGGCCTTCTCTGAAAAGTGATATTAAATGGTGTTTTTTTTTTAAAGATTTTATTTATTCATTTGAGACACAGAGATACAGAGAGAGAGAGAGAGCATGAGCAGTGGGAGAGGCAGAGGGAGAGGGAGAAGCAGGCTCCCCGCTGAGCCAGGAGCCCAATGTGGGACTCGATCCCAGGACCCTGGGATCATGACCTGAGCGGAAGGCAGACGCTTAACCATCTGAGCCACCCAGGCGGCCCTGGTTTTTTTTTCTTTTAATAATCTTTTATTGAATAATAACACGCACATACACATAAGTTTGCAAATAAGTAGATAGCTCTGTTAGTTATCACAAAGTGAACACACCTAGGTACCACACCCAGACCAAGAAATAGAACATTTGTGGCATCTAATTGTTTTTGTTTTGTTTTGTTTTCTCCCTTAAAATACCCTTAGTTCAAAAAAATAGAAGGCTAGTCATCCCTGTGTTGGGATCCAGGATATTTTTATAAAATTTACTGGCCTGTGAAACCCCAAAGTCTGGTAATATGTTTAACACTGAGGAGTCCAGTAAACCTTACTGGGCCATCCTTCTGCTGGAAGAAAGAAACAAAACAAAACAAAACAAAAACCACAACAATTCCCAAATGTCCTATAAGTTTCCAGAGTCATGAGAAAATTTCTAAACTATGATGTGACACCAATTCCTTGAGCATTCTTCAAATCATGTGCTTCAATGAGTGACTTTACTCTTATGTTATGAAAATGAACACTATTTTTAAAGGATTTCAGATTCATGAAGATAAACTGCCTCGTGCCCTCTTCAGTTAACCACAGACTTACTGAGATGAGTCACTTTTCCTCTTTCTTGCCTCTGTCCCAAAGAGAGTAGGCCTGGTTTCCCTTACAACATGTCTCCATCTAGTTTCCTCATGATGTTTTCAGGAAGATGACCACTTCCAAAACAATATGTTGGTCACTTAGGTCTATTAGCGATGATCTGGATTATTTCTCTTTTTAGGATGTAATCCACCAAAACACAAATGAAAGATATTTGGCTGGTGTACTTTTCTTAGGAAAGCTCTTGTGTCTTAGGCTTTTGTCTAATCCTGTATGGTTTCCTGCACACCACCTCTAATACACACACACACACGCACACACACATCCTGTAATTAATTGTTTCTTAGCTGACAGTGTTTGGGAAAACCCACCTCTTTTTTAATTGAGGGCACTTCCATTTGCAGCCAGCACTTGCATTCAGTCTGTACATTTTACTTCTGATTGTGTTCATTTTAGTGTTTAGTTTTCTCGGCGATGTGCCTTGTATGAGTTTGGTTTTGATTTACTGATGCTTTACAGCAGCCATCTTGTGGCATGGACAGAAAGCTCTTCGCCCCTCTCTGCAGAGTGCTTGCTTGATTTTTCTTTTCTTTCTTTCTTTTTTTTTTTTTTTTTGCTTGCTTGATTTTTCTTGTGCTATGTTTCGTAATTGGTATATAATGAAATCCCTCAGAACACCAGTCCTCCACCCCCAAGGAAACCCAAGACCCCTTTTTTCACGTATAAGCAAATTGGAGAAAATAGTAGATATTTTTGGAAGTTAATTTTATTATATGAAGATAGCATACAAAATACATTCATAGTGACTAGAGATGTAGGACCAAATTAAGTCTTACTTATATCTGCAGCATATATTCTTGGTATGTATAAAAGTAACTTTAAAATTCCAGTTTCCTTAAATAGTTACGCACAAAACACACACACGTATATACACATACAGTTACTACCACTGTCGGTCAAAGATGCGCTCCTCCTTTCACGAATGAAAAGGGCCTGGCAAGTATCTGTTTCAGGTTTGACATACTTACAGGCTGGGAAACAAGGCACAGCTAGAAGACCTACGTGACATTTTTCAGGATTTGGACAAATCTGTTCCATGGGCTAAAACTAAGGTCTGAGCATCGTTTCTTAGACTAACAAGATAATAGACCTGCGTATGGTTTCAGTCCTGTTCCACCCACAGTGTTACACATACATGGCCTCACAAATCCTGAAAGGAAATGCTGCTTTACTTGTTAGTGCCAGCTGTTTTTGTCATAAATGACAAATGGTTCTAATAATATCATCGGTTAATTAGTGTTTTCATTTTCAGTGCTTTTTAATAAATGTTCAGGGCTGGTAAATGAACCATTCTGTGGCAAGCACTCTGCCACTAGATAGACTCATTCCTGCAAGCTTCCATTTTTCTTTGTGTTAAGACTCTAGATGGAACCATTGTTGACTGATGGACTCGTGTAGGCTATAAACCTGAGTCTTTGAAGCAGTTGAATTGACACAGTTCTAGTACATGTTTTGTTTTTCTTTTGGAAAGATGGCATTACTAAGGTTTCTGAACAATACAGAATTGGATTATTGAAATCAAGATGTGGTACGGGTAGTTAAGGTTTCTGTTTTCACTCATTGCTGGATCCTTACTGTTTTGAAAGCATGAGAGAATTGATTGACATCTTCTTTTAATTTTCCCTATTCAACCTCCTTCTGGTTACCTGATTGATACCGTCGCCAGCTGTTCCAGGTGCTTTTGTGCGTGCAAAGAAGAGGAGGAACAAAGCTCATCCCCTCTTCTGGCCCTGGCCTGACTTTGTTTGCACTGGGCCCTTGGTGGAGAGGCCTGCCTCGCTTCTCTGCCGGCCAGGGGCTTCCCCAGCAGAACCACCACTGGAGCACCCGCCGCCCCCCTTGGGATGTGCTGACTGTCCCATCTCTTTATACTAAGAACCTTGAAACCAGAGTGTGACACACAGAGAAGGAAGCAAAGATTCCTTATATCTCAGGTTCTAGAGTTAAGTTACGTGCATAAAGGGAAGCATACTCTACTACCAGAAGCAGCAATTCACTGTTGCCTGTCCAGCCTTGACTGGCTTTAGAAGGTGCATACATCCTAAATACATAGCTTCAAACAGAGCCAGTTGAGAGATCCAGAGTCTGTAGACTCTCTGAAGAGTCGGCACCCTTGTGTACCCTGTCTCCCTATTTCCATCATCTTCAGACCCATGGCAAGGTCCAAAGCAAATGAAAAGAGGCTTTTCTCCTCTTGATGGCTCATTAACTAATATCCTGAGTCCCAATTCTAAAAGTATCTTGCATAAATTACATATCACCTTTTTTCTCAAGGAGCATAAAGTGCTTAATAAACATTGATTAACGTTCTTCCACATCTTTCCAGTAGACTAGCATGAGATAGTAGAATCCCCATTGAAAAGGAAACATGATTGACTTCCTATCCTTTGGGTCCCAACTGTTTCAGTGAGTTGGTTTGGTTGGTATAGAGATGGGGTTTTCACCCTGTTCATCCTGTTTTTTGCTCCATCTATCCTGGTTTTGGCATAGAGGAAACCCCCCGCAAGACTCATTTTCATCCTCCTCAGAGCTTCCTTTTATAACTAACTGTACAAAACAGGTTAATGTAAAAAACTTGAAGTGTTTTGATTATACATTAAGACTCAAAATAGAATCTGACAATATTTTTGAACATGTGGCTTAAAGCCCAACAGGTAACCCTAATAGACCAAACTCGTTCCAGTTAGCTTACTCTGAGCAACCTGCTAAGTGTGAGGCCATCATGCTGTGGAGCCAGCTTAGCTCAGGGTGAGTTTGCAGTGTATCTTGCTAGAGGGGCCTACAGTCTCGGCTCAGATTTGAGCACCAAGCTCAGTGCTAGAAATTTAAAAATGTGCCATATATGGGAATGGGCATAGATCCAGTCCCATAGCTAAGACTTTAAAAATTTGTTTTGTAGTTCCAAAAAAATATGTCTGTCCTTTTCTTGCCTGCCGGAATCCAGAAAATGTCCCCTCATCCTTCTGTCCTATTTGCTCCCTGGCTGGATTTTCCATGTGGACCGGGTTCGGTCAGGGTTTGGAAGCATTGTCATGGCTTTTCCTACTCCCTTCCCATATGGGACAGCACAAATTCTTCTCTCCAGTGCTCCATCCTGTTTACTCTCTGCTACCTTTCTCCCTTCTTTCCTTCTCCTCCTTCCATGTCACATCTGCTAGAGGACCCCAGAGACATTGCACAGGCCGGCTTAGGGCTGGTTGCCTCCTGGTTCCCGGGTGCCGGTGGCTGGCCCCATGAGTCCACACTGCACGGTGGGGTCAGTGTGTCTCCTGAATCATCAAATGCCCTGTGGTCTCAGGGGTAGGAGCAGGTAAGTCATTGGGCTTAGAAAGGGTTTCTCTAACACACTGAATAATGTGAGGATTTACCAGTGGTGTTTTTCACTTGTCACTATTACTCTATCTGGGGTTACATTCTTGTTAGTCAAAAAGAAAAAAAAAAAAAAGCACTATTAAAAAATCACAAAAGGCAGCTTGCTCCTGTGGAAAGGTAAAGGTGTACATTTATATATGTGTCATACTGGCAGAAGCAGCTAGTTTTCAGGGGGCATAAATACTTGTGTGGTTCTAGAAAGAAGGCGATGTGTCAAACTTTAGACAGGCGGGGTGGAGTATAAGACCACCGAGTTGTAGTCTGGGGGAGGAGAGCAGCACGAAATCTTCTTTTCCAGCTCTGAGTTGTCATACGTAAATCTGCGCCTGCCTCTGTTGATATGCCCACACCCGGAATGGCAGAAAGCAGGCCGCGTGAGGTCAGAAAGCCCCGACTCCTTACTTTTACTGGTTACTCTCAAGCTAAAGAGAGAAAAGGAAAAAAAAAAATCATATACACAAAATTGATTTCTCGAAAACAAACAGGTCCACTCTTTCCTGTTAGGCCTTTGCTCGTAACTGTTCTAGAGCTGATGGTTATTGAATCCCATCTCAATCTCAGCTCACAGACTCTTTGTTCTAGAGCCTCACGCTGCTTCTCTGCTATCGGCCCGGTGGCACCAGGCAGAAAGATGCCTTCTCTGGCCGGGGCGTGGACTGGGTATGAATAGATACTGCAAATCCATAACGCCGGGTGGAAAATAACTCCAAGACGGGTATGGCCCTCCCCTGCTCTTGGGCCGGTTAGCTACTGGGGTAGGCTGAAAACCGCTCCCGCCTCCAAAATACATAGATCTCAAATCCCTGGAACCTGCAAATAGCACTTCGGCAAAAGACTGAATATTGCCTCATGTGGCAAGCCGGGTGATCAAGCTAAGGATCTTCAGAGGAGGAGCTTAGCCTGAATTGCCCAGGTGGGCCCTAAATACAATCACACGTATCCTTATAAGAGAGGCAGACGGAGATTCACACCCACACACAGGAGGCGGTGGTTGAAGGTGGAGCAGGGAGACACGGCCACAAGCCAAGGAAGGCCCAGAGACACCGGGAGCCGGGAAGGGTGACGAATGGATTCTCCCTCAGATCCTCCAGAGGGATTGCGGCTCTGCCAACACCTTGATTTTGGACTGCTGGCCCCCAGAACTACAAGAGAATAAATCTCTCCTGGTCTAAGCCACTAACTTTGTGGGGATGTGTTACAACAGCCTCAAGAAACGAATAAAGCTTCAGACAAACAGGTCAGTTACAGTTGTTTCCCTATCATGTTTGTGTTCTAGAAAACTTGTTATGGCTCAAGGAGAAGAAACTTGTTTCTGGTTCTATATGTTACATCCAGCCTGAGACAGATACACAGGAAAGAAAAGCTTCTCTTGTCCTTTCATATTTGTTTGTTTCTTCATAGCTGGGATGAGAACGAGAAAACCTCATGTGCTACCATATTACTTCGATTGGCTCATGGACTAAACACGTCAAGCATTTTCTATATTTTTAATCTCAGAGTCGAGGGTGAGATTATGGCTTTCCTTCACAGAGATCTAGATTAAGTCTTCCAAAATAGGAAACAAAAGGTTGTTGGTAGCCTACTTTCTTTCCTCCCTTATACACGTCTTCTTTGTGAGGGTCCCCTAATCCTCTACCCTCTGAGGGGACTCAGCTCTGGTACCATCACGGTGCTCATGTTAAAAGGAAACAAGTATGAAGATGTTTGCCTGGCAGTGTGCCTCCCCTTCAGACTCACTCGTGGTTGTTAAATTGTGCTCACTCTATCACTTAGAGGCATTTGGGCCCACCTTTGGACTCAGATCAAGGTCAGCAAAGCACATGCTATGGGCTGAAAACCTGCTTGGTTTCGTTCTTTTTTTTTTTTTTTCCTCCATTTTTATTGAGATACGTTCACCTGTTTAAGGTGTCCAGCTGAATGGTTTTTAGTATATTCGCAGATGGTGCAACCATCAACACAATCAATTTTAGGACATTTTCCTCACTCCGCAAAACCCATACCCACTAGTATAGCCAGTTACCCATCTCCCCCACACGTCCCACCCCCAGCCCTAGACAACCACCGACCGACTTTTATTTATAGAATAAATATATAGAGTGGCCTATTGCTGGCATTTCACGTAAATGGAATCATATGCTATGTAGTCTGTTGTGACTGGCTTCGTTCACTTAAAAATGTTTTTCAAGGTTTGTCCATGTTGTAGCATATATCAGTACTTCGTACTTTTTTATTGGCAAATAATATTTGATTGTATGGGTATACTGCATTTTATCAACTCATCAATTGAAGGACCGTTGGCTTGTTTTGGGGTTATTATTAACGATGCTGCTATGAACATTCATGAATAAGCTTTTGTGTGGACATCAGTTTTTGTGCTGTTGGGTATGTACCGAAGGAGTGGAATTGCTGGGTTTTAGAGTAACGCTATTTAACCTTTGAAGAACTGCTATCCTGTTTCCCAAACTGACCGTGCCATTTTACATTCCTACAGCAACACACAGGCTTAGGATTTCTCCACCTCCTTGTCAATGCTAACTTTTTGGTTCTAGCCATCCTAGTGGGTACGAAGTGGTATGTCGTTATGGTTTTGATTTGTGTTTCCCTGATGACTAACGACCTTAAGCATCTTTTCCCGTGCTCGTTGGCCACGGCCGTCTGTTTCTGTAAGGTTTACTGGAACACAGCCCCACCTCCTTGTTTATATATTGGTGATGGCCGCTTTTATCCTACAGTGGCAGAGTTGAGTAGTTGTTTTGTTTTGTTTTTAAAGATCTTATTTACTAGAGAGAGAGAGAATGAGCAGAAGGAGCAGGAGACTCTCTGCTGAGCAGGGAGCCCGACACGGGGCTCGATCCCAGGACCCTGGGACCATGACCTGAGCAAAGGCAGATGCTTAACTGACTGAGCCCCCCAGGCGCCCTGAATAGTTGTTTTCTATGTGGCTCTTGAAGAAAAAGTCTGCTGACCCCTGATTTAGAGGAAAGAGGAGCATGTTCTGCCTTTGGGTGAGATGGGCAGGCGTTTGAATCAGGAAAGGTGGGAATGCCTGACAGATCGGCCCAGCCTTCGCCTGCCCAGCACGGTCCCCAGGCAGAGACCAGCACAGAGAAGCTGAAGTGGTAGCAGGGCCAGTGGAGAAAAACGCTGGGGCCTAGGTTATTCCAACAGCACTTGCAGATGGCCACTGTAGGGAGGGAGGAGGGCCAGGAGCCAACAGGACACAAGCCTTCTCTTGGAAGAGTTGGCTTCTCGGGATGGCACATCTTAGGACGGGAAAACAGGACCGTGCGCCTTCCCGTACAAATGCTGGCAAGCCCAGGGTATGATCACGGGCGAGCTGCCCTCCCTGCCCCCGTAAGCGTGTCTCCATCTGACTTATGCACTGCTCACACTTGGGCATATCAGACTCCGTCCAGCTGAGGCGCTGTGCTTCATGTGTTTGGACTGCCTGTCCCTGCTAGAATTTTCTGCATGTTTCTACTTCTCAAATCCCAGGCTTCCTTCTCAGCACTTGGTGCTCATCTCTCTGATTTTTATACCCTCCTTCTTGCCCTTGGGAGGACAAAAAGTGCTTTTCTGCAAAACCTGAACACTGTAGTTCAGGAGGCCGAGTGGCCCTCAACTGTCCCCATTGAGTTTTCCCCAGCATCTTCCTTCACACCCCTCGATCAGTTGATCAAAGATCCCCAGCTTCCTTACTCAATCTTCACAGAGGCCTTGGGTTTGCTCTCAGCCCAGGTGAAGCGCTTCAGCAAGGGGGAGGCCATCAGAGTGTTACTGTCCACCTGGTAATCCTGGTGGGAGGAAGGAAACAGGTTATACTTCTTGCCTGACCCAGACGGGCCCACGAGTCTGGGGCATGATATTGGGATGCACATCCGAAGTCACTCCAAGCTCTGTCCTCACCTGCCTATTAAGACCAAGCATGTTCTCCACATGGGCAAACCTAAATTTTGTCAGTTGCAAAAAATGCCTATTATTCCCTGTGACTTTGAGGTCCTTCTTCCTGAAGGTGAAAAAAATACCTTTTAAACAAAAGGGGAAGCTGCAGGTAATAGGTGAGCATTTTTTTATAGTAAACTTTTATGCAAATGATTGCATACATCTACTAAAACTAATTTTGGCAGATGACTGCTATCTGTGAGTATTTGGGGGCCATACATAAGATGCAAAGATTTCGCGAAATTATAAAGACCTGGTTGAATTTTCTTTCTTGTGGATCCTATGGCATTCTCAGGCCCTCCATGGTCATGGTTTGCAACAATTCCATTTTCTCCTTGGTTCAGCTTTAGCATGGAGTTTCATGCAGGCTCCTCCTTACTCTGTTAATACAGCCTTCCCAGTGTGTGGATTCCACACTTTGTTCCTCTGTCCTTTGAGTCTCTGACGGGGCTGTGTTCATGTCCTTACTCATCAGTAAGCAAACCTAAGCGAGCAAAGAAGCTGTTGTGGCCCCACTGTATCGGGCTGGGGAGGGTTAAGGTGGACAGAAATCTTCCATGTTTTGCTCAGTATCACTTCCTAGGACTTAAAACCAGCTTACTAAGTAAAACAAAATTTCCAGCTATTTTACTTTGGTATTCTGTGGCTAGTTGTAATGCTTTTAAGTGTTCCAGTCATCTTTTCCTCTTTAGTGTGTTTGAAAAGCTTTTGGTGCTTTTTAAATGATGACTGTGCTGGGTATCAAGTCACAGTGTTTGTGGTCATCACCTTCACACTGGTTGGTTTTCCGGCCCTTTTATGGGATCTGAGCATTACCAGTGCTCCTCAAACTTTATTGTGCACATCAGTCCCCTGGGGACCTTGTGACAGGGCAAAGTCTGACTCAGTGAGTATGGACAGGTCCTGAGATTTGGCATTTCTAGCCCGCTTAGTGGCCACGGTGCTTACCTGGAGATCACACTCTGTCAGGGGCTAGCTAGCAGAAGGGCACTCTTGCCCAGCCCTCCCCCTCCTCCCCTTACTCTCTCAACCTCATGTCCCAGAGCTTCAGAGAGACAGCTGGGTAAGGCCCTGTGTTTGCCGGGCTGTACTGGATTGCTTCTCCCAGTGTGGCTGGGTAGGACCATGGCTGTCCAGCTTCTATAATCTCAGTGGGAAGGAGCATAAGGCCTGGGTAGACTTCTCTCAGGACCTCAAGGCTATTCTTTTTTTTTTTTTTTTTTTAAGATTTTATTTATTTATTTGACAGATACATAGCAAAAGAGGGAACACAAGCAGGGGGAATGGGAGAGGGAGAAGTAGGCTTCCCGCCGAGCAGGGAGCCCAATGCAGGGCTTGATCCCAGGACCCCGGGACCATGACCTGAGCTGAAGGCAGACGCTTAACAACTGAGCCACCCAGGTGCCCCCTCAAGGCTATTCTTAAGGGAGAGCTTTCTGTTATATCATGAAGACCCAGCCACTCACAGCTTTGAGTTCCTCCATTAATCTGGAAGCAGGATTCCATCATTGATAGCCAAGAAGCTTAGAAACACACAATGAAGTTTCCTAAGGGACTAAACTATGACCAGGTGAAGATGTGGACCCTGGAGTGAATTCGAGGTCATTGTCAAACTTCAGAATTACCTATTAGCTCTGTATAGCTAAGTCTTGTTGTCAGTCCCCCGAAATTGTCATTTCAGCCACTAATTACTGACCCCCATGGACTGAGAGCCACCAGACTATTGGAGTTTGTGTTTGGATAGAGTCCGGCAAAGGGTCCTGCCAGGGTGCCTTGAGTAGGTGAATTCCATTACTTACATCAAAGATAGAGGTGGTGTTTGGTGAAAGTTCTTCAAAGGTTTTGATTCTCTCCAGACTCATGAAATTGAAAGCATTTACGTATCTGATGAAGAAGCAGAAAGAATAATCAAGACAGGAAAATGAATCCAGCTTTTATTAGTTGGGAGACTATGGGCACTGTATCCCAGCTGAGGCGAACAAAAGTACCAAAGGAATCCCTGGCTCCTGAGGCTGAAGGTCTCTTGCTGTGTTCCCCCTAAGGATCCTCCCATGGTTGTTCATCCACACTGCATAGTTTTGAGCAAAACCCCAGAGGGACCCTTGAGAGACTCCTCAGTGGTTGGGCTTCTAGTCCCTTGTGGAATTGGAGAAATGTCAGGCCTAGAAGAAACCTGAATCCTCATGTGGTCTAAACACCCTCCCTTACAAAGGAGAGAGATGATGCCCAGAGAAGGGATATGACTTGATAATGTATAGCTGCCTACTTCTCAAAGGATGCGAGGAGACCAAGGAAATGACCTCGCAAGGTCACACAGCTGATTTAATGGCTAGTTCTGTATATTCTGCTCTTGGATTCCAGATTGGGAGAAATGGGTAGTATTTTTGTGTTTTCCCTTTACCTACTGACCTATTGTTGATGATCCATTAGGAAGGCTGGCAGAGATCTCCACCATATGGTTCCTCCTAAGGCGAGTTCACCTATAGACTGAGTTTCTTAGTCTGAAACCCTATCATCACTTGCAAGGCCCAATTTCTTAGATAAGCTTTTTATTGGCCTAAGGCTCAGCAGCATCCTGTAAAGGCCCAAAAACTGACAATTTCCCTCCCCCATCTCTGATACAATCAGATATTGCTAATGTGTTCAATCCCAGCTAGCTTTCTTTAAAAAAAAAGGGGGGGGAGGGTGATTCAATGGGTGATTTTTTTAATCTTAAAAAATTCGGTGATTTTTTTTTTTCCTTAAAAAAAATAAAAGGTGATTCATTCAAATGGGTGAATCCCAGCTAGTTTTCTTAAAAAAAAAAAAAGGTGACTTAGTGGTGTGTTGATACATGTATCATGTATCAGAGATACAATCAGATACTGCTAATGTGTCCAATCCCAGCTACTTTTCCTAGCTTAAAAAAAAAAATGGGGGTGATTCATCTGTTTCAGCCTCCTGGGCTGGTTGTGAACTGTGAGCAGTGCCACTGACCTATAGCCCATGACCACAAATCCGGGCTGGCCACTGGACTTCTAGGCCTGTCAGAGAAGGCTGTCAGTCTTTTCAGACTGTCCCAACCCTTAGCCATGCCTCCCCTGGCTGAACTGAGGCCAAAGCTGTAGGGTTGTGCCTTCTGCAGATAAAGATGCTAGAAGGCCCACAGGATAGTCTAAAGATCCTAAAAATCATTCTAATGGCATGGAGGGAGTATCAAAATACCTAGGTTACAAACTCCAATCTGCCACTTTCCAGACACACCATTTTTGGCAAGCTATCTCCCATGGAGCCTAATGTCCCCATTTGTGGAACAGGAATAATAATACCTACTGTATAGTATTGTTTTGAGCATTAAAGGAATTGATGTCCACAAAGAGCCTACACAGGGCCAGACTACACACAGCGCATGTCTGTGTGCCCATTAGTACCGAGTGTGTATGATGCACATGGAACCATCAGCAGCGATGAACATCCATATGTAACTGTTAGGACTTATGTGGGATGCATGTCTAACCACCAGGAATGACGTGTTAATACATGTATAACTGTTAGTGCTGAACATGTGTGATAAACATGTAACCATTAGTAGTCAAGAGCTGATTCCCACCCCACTAGCACCCAGTAGAGGCACTCAGTCAATATGTTTTCCCCTTATCCCTTCTCCAACTTCTTCTGCAGTGATGAGACAGAGGTTAGTGTGTCAAGTAAGAAAAAAAAGGTTTGTTTTATCTAAGGCCTTACAAAAAGAAAAGGTATTGGGGGGGAGAAAAAGATGTAGGAGTATCTTAGAATAAAAGAAAATGCAATGTGTTATTCTTGATTGGATCCTGTGTTTGTCTTTTGTTTTTTTCTTAAGGTATAAAAGACATTTGGAGAACTTATGGAAAGGTGAATATTTAATAATATTGAGGAACTATCAATTTCTTTGGTGTGATAATTTTGATGTGGTAACACAGGAGAATGACCTTCTTACAAGATTTAGGGGTAGAATGTTATAATGCCTTAAGTCTCTTTCAATTGGTTCAGCAAAAAGAAAAAAAAATACACATAGAGTGTATACAATAGAGACAAAATAGGGCAAAATGTTAACTATGGTTGAATTTAGGAGGTAGACTTTTTTTTAATGTTTGAAAATTTTATAATACAAGCCTAGGGAAAGAAAGAAATCTTACCTGACATTATCAGAACTTCCTGAGTTAAACTTTGGAGCTGAAGTATCTTCCTTGAAGAAGTCATCAGAGAAGGCAGGAGATGAGTATGTAAACCCACTATTTCCTGTCAGTATGGCATTTAGTGGGATATAGTCTTTACCGTCCTAAAATACCAAAGATAGAGCTCTAATTGTACAAATCTCTATTTTAACCCATGTCTGTGAAACGTGTCAGCTTCAACTGTGTCATTTCCACAATCTTTGTTGTGTTTTGGGAAGATAATTGTGCATCTGCACTCTGCGCGCACACACACACACGTTTAACTGCTAATCTCTGCTGTTAATAGCTCTTAAAACAAACAAAGCACCCCCTTGACTTATATTCAAAGGCATTTGGGTCTTCCGATATCCGAGATAAATTCAGCTTTACCTGTTGTACATTGGCTTGCAGCAAGTCGCCTAGTTTTTCCACAAGTTCTGCAAATCTTGGCCTTTCTTTTGGGTCTTTGTGCCAGCAGTGCAACATGATCTGATAGCTGTTGGGTGAAAGCACAACAGAACTAGCTGGAGACCAGTGGTAATCGTGTAAATTGCCCCACATGCATCAGCAAAGTGATGGAGCTCTTCTTGAATAAAGCAGGGCTCCTGGAAAAGGAAGCCTCAACCCGCTGTTGACTTGCTCTTAGGTATGCAGTTTAGAGCTCCTCCCCTCACTGTCAAAAGCAGGGCAATGTCCCTTAAAGGTAAAAGGTCTCATAGACACAAATATCCATGGGTGAATTGTTTGTAGTAGTTATATTCTCAGGCTGTAAAAAAAAAAAAAAAATCGACTCAGGCTTCTTAAGACGCATGTGGTATGTCCAGGGCCTCACGGTTCCATGATTGAGCTCAGCAGGGTAGAGAAAGCATTGTGTACAGGACTCCGGTCCCTTCCAAAAGGTGAGAGCGTTTGTGTAGCGTGGGTTGTTCCTTGGGCTGCGTGCAGGTTTCCTGCATGTGGCTGACCCCCTCTCCCTCTGCCAGCCCCAGGATTTCAAAGCCGCCATTACAAACTGGACTCCCACCCCTCTCAAGGCACTAGGTACAGGCTGGGCTTCTGGGTATGAAAACGTTTGTCTTAATCTCATCCTTAAATGTCAACAGGCTTCCTCTATGATTCTTCTCCTCTGACCTTGGAGATGGAAAGGTTTGGGGCTCTTCCCTTGATCCTGAGGGGATGAGGGGATGCAGGTCTCTGCCTGCCCCCTCCCCCCAAACCCTCCCCCCTCCCCCAAGAAGAACACATGCCAGGGGTCTGTACACACACTGGCTTACAGATTTACTCTCCTTGGGCTCTTTGTTCTCAAGAGATGTTTACTGTAAGCAATCTCTTCTCTCAGAAGATCATCTGGACTAGAGAAGGACTCTGACCAAGTAGGAACAAAGTCTGAATGGCCTCAGAATTTGGAACTGGATCAGAACCCGGCTGTTAGTGCCATGTGGGCAGGGACCACATCTCCGTGCCCCTCCACCTAGCTCAGGGCCTGCCATACAAGTACTCAATTATTTGATAAGGCAGTCAGGCTGGTCTCTGGGAAGAGATAGCAAGGCTCCTTCCATCAAGTCCTAAGCCACATTGCAGGCATTACTTGTAGTGCTGGGACCTGGGTGTTCCTAACCCAGACCTGAAAAAAGCCTGAGAACCCCGCCACCCCCCTGCCACTTCTTTTTTGTTTTTTGTTTAGATTTATTTATTTACTTATTTGAGAGAGAGAGAATGAGAGAGAGCATGAGAGACAGAGAGCACGAGAGGGAAGAGGGTCAGAGGGAGAAGCAGACTCCCTGCCGAGCACGGAGCTCGATGTGGGACTTGATCCCGGGACTCCAGGACCATGACCCGAGCCGAAGGCAGTCTCTTATCCAACTGAGCCACCCAGGCGCCCCCCCCCCCCTTGCACTTCTTAGACCCGTGCTTTCAGTCTGCCCCAGCTGCTCCCAGTGTCTCTGAAGGAACTCCCTATTTGTTTCAAAGGACAGACGAGGTGACCAACAGAGACAGCAGGAATATAGGAAGGTTATGAAAAGAGAAAAGCATATCGGGGGAAGGGAGAATAAAAAAAGGCAAAAGCACAGGCAAAGCTAATCTGCAAAATGTGCATCCTGACTCTCAGCGGTTGGATGGAGGCGGGGCTCTAAACTCCCAGGCAGCTGGTGAAAAGAAGGGATAATCAATTACGTGATGCACATAAGGCAAAAGTTAAAAACAGACCAGTTACTTGGAAGAAGCACGGCTATTCCTAGAACTGAAATCCAAAAGGAAGCTGTCCTAGACGCCTCTCAACAGTGTAATTTCCATCTAGGAAATAATGACTTCATGGGACTGTCTTGTACCTTGCCTTTCAACCAAAGCCTGAAGAGCAAAAGTACCACTCAGAAAAAACAATTCTGAGAGGCAAGAAACAGTGGTCGGGGGTGTGTCTCCTCTGGTCCCCAGGGGAGGGGTGGCCCCATGTGGTCTTCAGACACCCTCCGTGGGTACTGGTCTTCAAAAGCAAGCTCCCCGAATAGTTGGATGGTGAAGTTGAGGTTCTGAGTACCCAGTGAGCACATATCCTAAGTCTTTGATTAAGGGCCTGGAGCTCATAAAGATCACTTGTCTGAATCACAGATTCTCCTGACTTTGTCCAGACTGATGGATCAAGGCTTTTCTCAGAAGACGATTCTGGTTCCCTCCCACCCGTGTATCTCCTCTACTGTACCTATTTTACTTAACTCCCAGGGGGTGTGGTGGGCCTCAACGGGTCCCAAGAGCTGTGAAGGCCAATGTCAAGGACCACCCTACCGAGGCTCAATGCGCAGACACACAGGAAACTCGGAGTGAGGAGAGGAGCCCGGGCTCTCCAACTTGGGGCCATTGTCCCCGCTGTCTGGGAGACCTAGGACAGGGGCTGCAGGGCCCACGTCCCTGACTATCCCTGACCACCAGCCTCAGAGCGAGGGCTCCAGGCACTTGCTCCGGTCAGGCAACCTGGCCCAGCTTGCTAGTGGCCAGAGGTCTGAAGTGGCCCAGTCTGCACAATCCTACGTGGCGCTCACTTGAAGCTTACACGTTTTACTGATTTTTTGAGCTGGGTGCAAAAACGTTTACCAAGGAGACAGGAGGTCACTGGACGAAGCCCGTGGTCCCACACCCCCCGATGCGCTGGCTGTGGTGTGATGAAGGCTGGCCCGCTTCCATCCTACCACCCTGAGGCCTGCTCATCCAAGGCAGCTCTAGCAATGAGCAGTCTTGGAGGCTGTTGGAAGGACATTCAATGTATATACGCTGATAATGTATAAAAGGTAGCCTGGCTTGAACCAGCCACAAAAGGGGGGGTGGTCCTGTTGGGGGCCCCGGCTTCTCTCAGCCAGCACCCTTTCCCTGCTGAGCCAAAAGCCGCTGTGAGCAGGACTCACCCTGGCTTCTCTCTGCCCATACTAGCAAAAGGGACCACCTACAACTACTTGCTGTTTTTATTTTGACTCTTGGTTTCCGATTTCTAGTTTCCATTCCTCTTGCCTAAAATCCAATGCAAAATCATCTCCGCAAACACCAAAGGAAAAGAAAAAAAACATCAAAACATTCATTGCTTATTTCCTTATTGAAAGACATCTGATTAAACAGGCCCTGGGCGAGGAACCAGCCACTCAGGGTTGAACAGTTTACATCACTAAGTAAACAGGTTGAACACAGTAAAGAGACACCAGCTGCACCCACCCCAACAGCCCTCCTTGAAACCAGCTGTGGGAAGGGCTTCCTTTTCAAGCTATCACCCAAGCCCCCAAGTGCATGCCACTTTAGGCCAAGTTCAGGTCACAGAGGCCAGTTCCAAGAGCTGCACTTTGTCCTCCACCCAGGCCTTCCCGCTGTGGAGCAAACAAGAAGGCAATTCTCCACCAGCTCTCGAATGCTTGAGAATGGCTGAACGTTTGGATTCCAGGCTTCTGAACATACATTCCACAAAGCCGCTGCTTTTCACCATTTCTAGAACTCCCCAGCATTGAGGAACCATCCTTCTGTCTACAGGCTGCGTGGGATACAAGGGTTTCCTGGGAGTGGTTAACGTGAAGAAGCTTTGATAAAGTCCAAGGGGGTTTTCAGTCCAAAGCTGATATGACTTTGTACCTCTAGCGTCCTTTTGGACTAGAACAGACCCTGCAGGTATGTGGCCTGGTGTTGTGGACTCCGGGCTCAGACAAACTTACTAGCAGTGTCGCAGATCACTTAGATGTTCTGTGCCTCGGTTTTCTCACCTGTAAAATGGCGTTAATAATTGTACCTACTTTATAGGGTTGTGATGAGCACTAGGTAAGTTAGTATGGGTTAAAAGGCACTTAAAACAGCACCTGGCACTTAAGCACTAAATAACTGTTTAGTTAATAAATATTAAGCGTTACTTAGTAATGACAGCAATTATTATGATTAGTAGTTGAGAACTAGTCTTGTGATTGTCAGATTTTTTTTTAAGATTGATTGATTGTTTGATTGACTGATTTACTTGAGAGAGAGACAGAGAGCGAACAGGAGCTGAAGGGCAGAGGGAGAAGCAGACTCCTCGCTGAGCAGGGAGCCTGATGCGGGGCTCGATCCCAGGACCCTGGGATCATGACCTGAGCTGAAGGCAGACGCTTAACCGTCTGAGCCACCCAGATGCCCCGTGATTGTCAGAGTATATGAAAAGTGGAAGAACTATTCAAAGCATGAGTGGACATATTAGGAATGTGGGTGTATCTATAATTTAACAGCCCTGTGATCTAGGGAAATCAGTCCAAAAGACAGGCTTCTAAACGTCTCCTCTGCTACTTAGTTGACGGAGGACACATCACTTCACTTTTGAGAGGATTAGTTTCATTACTCCTCACATTCGAATTATAACATCTGTCTGCCCGCCCCTCGAGCTTTAGCTGAAACTGTTGGGGGGATACACTTAGGAAACCGTGAAGTGCGAAGTAATCTCCTTTTACACCAGATCTCCCAGCTGTTGCCCCTCTCCACCAAGCAAAAGGAGGCAAGCGATTAAAACTCTCAATGCCTTCCACACTCCACAGCCCAAATGTCATCCTGGGGGTTACTCTAGCTCCGTTCCCAGCTCTCCGAAAGGGGCCCTGCCTCAAGGTCTCCGGACTTCCCTGACCAGACCCCACACAGGCCCGACAAGGACAGGTGCACCTAGCTCCTTTCTGCACTCCTGCTCTTCCCCAGCGCTGCCTTCACGGGCCCGAGTCTCCCACCCTCGTCCGGGCTCTGACCTAGCCTCGTCTCCAGATGGTGAAGGAAAAAGACAGCAACCTTGCACTTTGGCCAAGCCCATGCTTCCTTCATTCCCTCTGACTCCTCCCCAAAGGCCATCCCAGGGCTTCTGACAAGACCCCATTGTGTGGGTAGCACAGGGAGGGCCGCCTGCCAGTTCAGGAAAGGTGGTGCCGCCCTGGGGAGGTCCGAGTCCTCGTCAGCAGCTCGACAGAACTCCAAGTGTCATCACATTCCTGCTTAGGCCTCAAAGTTCAAAACCTCCACAAAGCTTCAGGGAAACAGAGTGTCTGAGGGAGGCCAGCAAGCATTTGCATGATGGAGGACGCCTTCCCGTGGAGCCTAGAGTCCTAGGATCCTCAGCAGGGATCCACCTCAAGAAAAAGCTCCACACAGCTGCCAATTCCCAAAATGAGTCTCGAGAAGTCTTGATGCCCATGGACCCTTCTGGGGAGTAGGATTACTACTTCCTTCGGGAGATGCCCCTTTTCCTCTCCCACACCTCTTCCCCTGAATTCCACATGAACCGCCCCCGTCATGGGTCTGTAGCGTGAATGGAGGACTGGCTGGTCCATAGCGGCTTTTAGCCCTTCATCCCTGCGGCTGCTTAGCTCATTTGGCTCCCACTTTGTGAAGGAGGACAAGGTCTTGCATTCAGTGCCTGGGTGGTCTGTTCAGTGTGCTGGCATTCATACCTAGAAGCTCAATTTCTAACTTCAGTTCCAGCTAATGGCCTTGAAAAGCATGTCCGTGCTCAAGAGGGGAAATAGGGAGGCATGGGTCAGGGATAATGTGTCCCACTTCCAGAAAATAGTCCCAGCACAGCTGGGCCCAAGAGGGGCTGAACATCATCGGCAGGACGTTCCCCTTTTGGAGGTGTGCTGGTGGGAAGACCGAGGTCGGGTGGGGAAGGGAGGAAGTTGGGGGCTCACATTTCAGGAGTTGCGTATTCAGGGGCCCTCATCCTCATGCCTTCCTTCAGGCGGCTGCAGAAGTCCTCATCCATTTGCACACCTGGGTATGGAGACCCACCTGCAGGAGACAGCATGCGGAAGCACAGGGTACATCACGGTTTTGGGGTGCGGAAGACCACGGGGGAGCGAGTCCGTGTTTGCCTCCTCCCTTTAGACTGATGTCTTAGTCCCAAGTCCCCAGTGATGGGAATGGATATCCACAGCCAGTACCAGCTGCGGAGAGGCTCAGCAGATCCCCTCCAGCAGCGCAGGCTTGCCTGGTCGGTCCTGTGGTGCTGGGTGTCCGATGCCCACAGGCCATTCCCACCTCAGGAGAAGGGGTGTCCTCTGCAGGGGGTTCCTCTCTCCATACAAGGAACTCTAAAGAAAGCCCGTCGTTAGAGACTCCTACCTGGGGTGACTGAGATTCTTTTTAAGACGCCAGTGGACCTGGAATCAGATACTCATGGATCATTCACACCTCCATGAGAATGCTTTACTTCCCTACGTTCTTGTAAATGCCTCACAGAACTGGAGGACTGGCTGCTGTGAGGGACCCGAGGGAAAGGGGGCCTTGAGCTCTGGAGTGAGGCTGAACGGGGAGTGCGCCCAAGAGGGGCCCAGACTCTGCCTTCCACCCAGTTTCCCATCCAGGAGACCCACGTAACCTTTCCTGTGAGGGGGATGCTTGGCTGGAGCCCGGGGCGGCTAAGGCCTCCCGACCTGCCCTGTTGCAGACCTCGGATCTCGTCTCCGCATTTGTCTGCACTTTCTAGTGCTTGCTGCTGTTAGGAAGCAGCTGGGAGGCGTGCGGCTCTGGCACCGTGTCACCGTGGGGCCATTGCCGACGCCAAGCTGCTTTCAAGGACTGGAAGCAACAGGTGCCTGTCATCGAAAGCAGGGGAATGGTTTTCACACATTACAGGAAACCAGGGATGTTACTGGGTGACTTTTATTTGCTCTGCAAGGCAAATTTTTGGCAAAGTCCAAAAGACTGTTGGCTAGACCCCACGCTTGGGAGGCCTCGCAGCATCAGTGTGTGTCTGCGTGCAGACGTGGGCTCTGTGCACATCTGTGGGCCTGGGGCCTTGAACAGGGCTTCTAGCCACCCATCGTGGATGTTATTGGAAGCAGGATAAATACAACCGGTGTTCCCATTGTTCATCCTATGTAAACCAGCATCTGGGGCTAACTGGGCTAATATCCGAGCTGGAGCCGGTTTCTAACACCGACGCCCGTCGAGCTGTGCTTGCGGGGGCCTTTCTGGAGAAATTCTGGGGGGAGGGTGATGCAGAGAGGGAAGGGGCAGGGCGTTAGGAATTGGGGAGTTTGAGGAATTAGGAGAAGGCACAAAGGAGAGAGAAAGTAGTCAGACTGGCTAATGTGATGCTGGCGTGCCCCCCCCCACCCCGCCCCGTGCGTGTTGGTACAGAGCATCCTTCCAATACAGGGCACACATGCGTGCACTGTTCCTCATGTGAGCTTCTACAAGGACACAGGCGTCTTTTAGAGGCTGATCTCAAGGGTAGGTCTATCCGGAGGACACTCGACAGAGGATGCAGACTTTTGGTTCTGGGCCATGTATTTGATCCCTTCCTTCCCCCCAGATTTACCTAGGGAGAAGATTTCCCACAGCAGTACTCCATAAGACCACACGTCACTCTTGGTGCTGTAGATTTTGTCGAAGATAGATTCGGGAGCCATCCACTTCAGAGGAAGTCGAGTCTAGAAAAGGGCAGGGGGTCCTTGAGCAGAAGGACTGGAAAACAAAGCATGTTCCACCCAAGGCCCATGGGCTCCCCTCCCAGATAACACTTGGCCCACAAATCATTTCCTAGAGCAGCTATGGTTTCCTAAAATGGAGGAAACCCTTATAACAGTGTCACACTAAAAGAGAGGGCAGTCACTGTCTGGTGAGCCCCTCCCACGTATCCTGCATGTCCTCCCTCCAGAACTCTGGAAGAAGCCCTTCTCCCCCCAAAAGGCGTGAGCTCTACAAGGTCCTGGAAAAGGATGATCTGAATTAGGACACATCCTGAAAAATCGATGATTTTCAGGGTTTTGGTTTTTGGTGTGGAAGGAGGAGGATTTTGAAAGGCCTTGCTATGTAAAAAAGACAGAATTTTAAAAGTCACTGGATCAGGGGAGTAGGCAAAGGCACTGGAAGGAAGGAAGGTGATAGCATTTAGGAGACCATTTGGCTGGTTTTCCAGTGTGCAGAGAAATCTTCCTTCTCTTCAGAGAGCAGGAGTCCCAGTGGGTTAGGCCTTGCCCTGCAGATGGATGGGATTTGACAGGAAGTGTGGGATCACGGATTGAGAGAGAGAGAGACAGAAGTAGGAGAGGCCAGAAGAGACAGAGATGACAGAAAATAGGGACAGACTTCGCAAATTCGCGCTCCCGAGGAAGGTTTGTTGTTCTCCTTTTATAAAAAGAGACTGTGGGGCAGCGGTTCCCAAAGTCTAGTCCTGGGGGCAGCTGTATCTGCAGCACCTAGAAACTCGTTAGAAAGGCAGATTCTCAGGCCCCCGCCCCCCGACTCCCTGCATCAGAATCTCAGTGGGGGTGGGGGGGGGAGCTCAGTAAATTAGAGTTTAACAAGCCCTCCAGGTGATGTGTGTGCTTGCTCAAGTGTGAGAACTGCTCCCAGAGTAATCGTCAGAACCCAGACCCAGCTTCAGCTCTCCGGCTGGAGAAGAGAGGACACAGGAGGTCACCCACAAAGGTGCAAAATAACACTGTTCAAAAACAAGCAGGGAAGAGAAGCCAGTGGGAGCCAGCAGGGAGATGCTAGGCGGGAAGGCAGGCATGGGAGGTAAGCCATTTCCTGGTCAGCGAGATAAGGTTGATCCCCTCCCCCCGCTTTCCTGAGATATCCACACCTGCTGAATCAATCACCAGGGTTTATTTGAGGGAAAGAGTCCAGGCTGTTCTTTCCAGCGGTACAGGGAACTCCCGCAGGAGTCAAAGGGAGGCGATGATACGGTCTTCCCAGGCCCCCGCGGAACATTTCTCAGGTTAGCAGGCTCTGGCAGTGCTGCCCAAAAGGACAGGTACCAAGCCAGCAATGGGGGAAAGAACAGAACAGGAGATGGGGGTCTTTCTGAGCCCCACACAAGGGCTCTCTGGTATACAGCCCATCCGGGCTGCTCGTCTTCACAGAAAGCACATGATGGTTTTCGGGGAGTGTGTAAATATTTACCAAGGGCTTTGGTCTAAGGTTTAAAGATGACAGGGTATAAATGAGTCAAAGAAACATAGCACTGACTTACATCTCCTTTTCTTACATAATCGGGGTTCTTATAAATATCCCGGGCAAGGCCAAAATCACAAATCTTCACCACATTGTTCTCAGATAAAAGAATATTTCTTGCTGCCAGGTCCCGATGAATGCACTAGAATGAAACATTAGCATCATCAATACATTTCCTTAATTCAACCCACCATTTCCCTGTGCCTTTTCAGTGTCCTTATTCCTCTCAATTGGAGGATCCATTTCACATGCTTCCTTTACATGAAGGAAGCGACTTCCAAAGCCCATGGGGTGACCACAAACACGAAGGCATTTCTTTACAAATATAGGCCCCCCGAGGCCCAAAAGCCAAGAAATGCCGCAAGTCCGCTTTGCCACCTTTGGGCAGGACAGCAACCTGGTAAACCAAGTTGGCATTGATGTCTCCCGTGAGCAACACCCCACTTCCCCCACCTCCGGCCTTTAATCCTGAGCTGCCAAGGTCAGATCATGATCTGGTTTTGTGGAGCACTCCACATGGATGAATTAACAGAAGCTCTCTGGAGAAGTTGTGTATTCTGAGATTCTGGCCAGTTTTGAAAATATGCCAGAGGGCAATGTGGAGAATGGTCACCAGGTTTGTCTAGTTTGAAATCTGGTGAGGTTCTCCCCTAGAATCCAGTTCTACCCATTGGTATCCGATGCTCCTCCATCCTATCGGGACAAATTAAGGCATTTGGTGTGATGTTTACTCTATGTAAGTATAAGCAAATACTAGGAAGGATGGATTTAGAGTAAAGGTGAGTCCACATAACACCCACGTGTCCAGGCTTGGCAAAGAAGGAAAGCAGTAAAAGACAAGGCTGACCTTTCTGGAAGACAAAAACTCCATGCCTCTGGCCACTTGGAAACTGTAAGAAATCAGATCTTCCATAGTGATGGGCTGCTTGTAGAAATCATCAGAATCTGGAAAGCATTAAAACCATAACTGTTTGTAATGACTCTTATTATTCCACCAAATCCCAGTTTATTGGAACAATGTTAGCAAAACATAAAACCAACAAGTAGATCAGAGTTCATTTTCGAGAGCATTGGAGTTTCAAAATGAACATCAGAGATTTTTCCAGGCCTCCAGCCCATTCTACCCAGGCATGGGGGTGGGGGGTGATCCATTTGGACAAAAAGCCCTGAGGGGAGACAATTGCACAGTTCCCTGTCAAAATTAGTAACTCTGTAAATAATCTTAATTCAAATCTTATCTCCTCAGGACATTACCCTTCAAGTCTCCCACGGATGTTTATTAGGGTGATAAATAAGAAAAAAATGTCAGAGATGCACAGTATGTTGTAAAAATATCTCAGACTGCGAGGACAGGAAGGAATTAATACCTACCCTCCTCTTCCTCAACATCGCTCAGACTTTTATCTTCCTGAAACCCGGAGCTCGCAAAGCTCTCGCTGCTGGTGACACTATCTAGTCTTGGTTTCTTGTCTTGCTCCAGGTCGGGCTCCATTTTTTCTTTCTTAGGCTCCATGTGTAATGCCGCATCCTTTGAACCGACCGAGAAGGACACAGAGGAAAGAGAGTTTCAGAACAGCGATGAGGGAAACTAATCCCTCATGTGGGCAGGTGCCTGAGTTGGGAGAATGTCATTGCACAAAACGGGTGGTAAATTGGTGGCAAGAGCCCCATGGTGCTCAGGTGCCTGGCTCTTCATGGGGTTCTGGAGTCTGTTCGGCTTTCGGGTGGGTTTTGAGATAGCATGTTAGGTAGGATAAAGAAATGTTAACAGTCGCTGGTATTCACTGAGCGCTTGCTTGGTGTGAGCCAGTGTATTAAGACTCTTAGGTACAGTTTCTCATTTAGTCTTTGTAACAATTTGATGAAGTAGTTCTTGCTGATACATGAAGAAATAGGTCCGGCGGAGGCGAGTAATAAAAGTCATAGGCAAGTAGTAAATGGCAACGCTTGAACCCAGGTTTGGCCAGCTCCAGGCCATGCCTTTTACCATTTTTTCCATACCACACACCATCTTGTGAAAGATGATCTGAATAAGAGAGACAAATCCCTAGTGGACTTGGGGCTTCACTTGGCATAATCCCTGTGAGTAAGGAGAGAAGGCCATACTTATTGATTTCTCTGGTTTCTTTGAGGAAGGAGGGAACACGAACATTTCTTTGTCTCCCCTCCATTCAAAACAAAGATCCAGTTTAATCCTAATAAGGGCAGAAAAGGCCTTTCATCCTGGGCTGGGCATCCAAGCCCTGGTGTATAATCTGGCTCTTTCATTAACTATGTGATATTGGGCAAATTACCTCCCTTTTTTGGGTTTCATTTTCCTCACTGGGAAAGCTCCATCTTATTATGTTTGGCCTCTCAGGAAAGGAGGTGTTGGTTCTGGGTGTTCGTGTGGAACCGGAAAAGATTTTTATCATCTTTGGTAATTCACCTAATAACGGCGACACTACAAATTTGGTGCGCCCAGTGGCTTCGTGACTCCGTGCTGGTGGAGCATGGACCTGGGCTCAGTCATGCTAGCTGGCAGTACTGAGGAAGGGGCTGACAGGGACTGGGGCTCAGTGGTATCCCCTGATGCACCTGCACGGCGCGAGGCAGTGCGGGACTAACCAGGCTCCACGTCCTTGCTTGGCTTTTCCTAGACGTGTCACAAATCAGGAGAGATCCTTCCACTAGAGGGAGCAGTGGGAGTAAGCAGAGGACAGCGGAGGGAGCCCCAGCAGGGACAGCGGGACAGACTCAGGCTGGGGGGTACCAGCCTCCTGCCTGCTGACAGGAGCCCCGCAGGAGCCCTGCAGTGGGGCAGGCAGGCCACAGGGCAGACCCCCACTGGCACCCCAGGTGACCTACCTGAGAAGAGGTAAACTATAATGCTTTGTTACTGTGTCTCCCAGAGGCAGTTAGAGTTGGTTCTGCTCAGTTGGGGCCTGGAATTGGATTTTCCACAAGGCCCCTGCTCAGGCCACAAGGCAGCAGGGAAAAGGCACTGGCAAGGGTGTGGGGAGGAAAGTGCTCGACAGGTCTGCTCATGGCTCAGCCCATGACAATCCATGCTCTCTGCTCCCCGGGCCACCTTCTTCCTCATCCTCCCAGTGGTCACAGCCCCAGACACATCTGCAGGGGCCATAACTCAAGCTCCCTCATTCTTTCCTTGACTCTCAATCAATGCTCTGTTCAGCTTTGCTTATTGGTAACTACCACTGTTAAATAAAGGTGGATGTATGGAACTTTCGGGACTCTGGCAGAAGGCCATGCATTTATTACAAATAGTATTGAGAGATCTTGCTGCATTTATTTGGAAAACGGAATATCCCATTTCTATTTAGCCTTTCGGTTTTTCCTTCACTTTCTCTTTATATTCCTTTAGGTTCCAAATATGAAATACAGCCATGTGTTTTCCATGAAAACACTGAGCTCCACCAACAGGGAGGCGAATCATTAAATATAGCCAGAGAAGGAAGCAAGCTTTCTAAACAAAGGACGCACGAACCCAAACGTTCCATCCTGCCCAGGTCCCTGGGCTATGCTGCCGCCTTGGTTCTTCTTGAAGCAAGTCCAGGATTTCAGGACTGAAGGGACTTTGCACTGCTCCCAACCCGGGCCACCACTTTCCCCTTTTTCTTATGGTTTCTCCCCCCTCCCGACCCCACCCTGCTTTCCTTATCCAGCATAATGCACAGAAGGGTTTGCAAGGGTTGTCAAGAGAGCGGGGCTCTTTTCTTCCAGACTTCACCTCTGAGTAAGGGAGTGTCCTTAAGCCAATCACTTACTTGACTTTTCTGGGCACATCTATAACGTGAGAGAGTGAACTAGCTGAACACAAGGTCCTTTCCAGATTCAAGATTCTTTTTTTTTTTTTAAGTAATCTCTACCCTCAACATGGGCTTGAACTCAGGACCCTGAGATAAAGAGTCACATGCTCTACTGACTGAGCCAGTCATGTGCCCCTTCAGCTTCAAGGTTCTAACTCTTGGAGGGCATGGTTTAAAATTGGAGACAACATGTTCTCGCATATATGTTTCCAAGTCTGGTAGACCACCTGTGTCTTTGGTTGGGTCAAAGTTGAAGGGATGAGAGAATTGACCAGCTATCCAGTGGTTCTTATTTGTATGTCCTGTGAATACTCTTGTCCATGTAACAGATGGGCATAATTCTTGGATGTGCGGCACTTTATCCATCATACAGGTTGTATAGATGAGTGGCATTAAGTTGGACTCTCCCAGTCCTTCTCTCTCGGTGGGTCAATAATGACAAGGATAGTTAACATTTCTGGAGTGCTTAGCTCAGTGAAAAATGGGATTCTCTCAACAATGCCATGAGTTCGGTTCTGTTTTTACCTCCATTTAATAAAGGAAGGAACTGAGACCAAGAGATTGAGTAGCTTGCCCAAGGTCCCAGATTTTGAGTGACAGAGACAGGATTTAAACCCAGGATGTCTGATTCTGGAGTCTGTGTGTTTAATCACCACACTACATAGACTCATCACCAACACTGCTGATTATCAGGTAATAATGTTGAGTCATTGCTCTCCAAGCCACTCCGGCCCAGAGAAGGACACAACACTGGTAGGATGGGTCACACTGGTGAAATTTTATTAAACCTTCTCCTCCATTAAATAATCTCTGCCTTCAGGGCTTAAGCCTACATGTTCCTTTTGTTATGTGGTTTTATTTTAGTGGGTAAAGCTGGTTCTGTGTGCGCACAGGGCTGACATGGGTGGTGTGGGTCTGGGGAAGGCGAAGTAAAGGGCACAGCAAGGGGGGCACCTGGGTGGCTCAGTTGGTTAAGCGACTGCCTTCGGCTCAGGTCGTGATCCTGGAGTCCCGGGATCGAGTCCCGCATCGGGCTCCCTGCTCGGCAGGGAGTCTGCTTCTCCCTCTGACCCTCCCCCCTCTCATGTGCTTGCTCTCTCTCATTCTTTCTCTCTCAAATAAATAAATAAAATCTTAAAAAAAAAAAAAAGCACAGCAAGGGGAGAAAATAATTTCTCTGGCTTCATGTTCACTGCAAAGTCACTCAGTTGATTGAGTCCTTAATTTCTCTAGTAAATGGAGACAATTATACTTGCTATCATCTTCTTTAAAGAAGTAACTAAGTGACTTGTGTGGGTGTCTGTATATACAGAGAGAGAGAAAGAAAGAAAATGATCAAGATGCTTGGATAGGTAGTTAGGTAGATGACTCGAAATTGTAACCTCTAATTGTCACTTCATAGGCTAGGATTACATGTTCTCTGTGCTGCCCATAAAAAGTGTGGTATATTAGCATGGAAGGAAAAAGCAGAGATTGGGTTTTAGGCTTAGTCATTAATGGAAAAATACAGTTTTCTCTGGCTTTATGCTGCTATCGCCTAAACCTCCAACCCCTAAATTCCTTACCTTGTTGAGAAAGAATAAGTCTCGTTTGCTCTTGAGGTAGTTGGACAGATTTCCGTATTTGCAATATTCAACGATCACCATCAGGGGCCCTGTACGCAAAACAGGTGGCTTATCACTTGTCACTTCTCAAGGGCAATGGAGAAACAGGCAGCCTACGGCTGGGTCTCTATGACTCTAGTTGGGGTCTCCCAGCCCTTAGCTGCTTTCTGTACCCACTGCTACTCCCAACATGTAGGGTCTTCCCGACTACCCTTCATCTCTACTAGTTTTGTTGACCTTGGAAAACACCGATGTGCACAGGTCTTTCGCTCCTTTCTTTCTGGCTTAAGCAGTGATCATACATCTATACCCAAGTGCTAACCTTGCCACAGGGGAAGATAGAAAGGTCTTCAGGAACATGCTGGAGCCCTGAGTCATGACCACAGCCCTGTCCCAGCCACTTGCGCCAGCGGGTAAAACCTGTCTGAAGGGAAGGGCCCTTCTCATTGTCCCTCACATCCCCTCCTCCTGGGATCCCACCAGTAGTGACTCCTTCCTTTATGTGGAGCTTCGAAGAAAGCTCACCCTTCTATCCGTTACCTTAGCTCTGGCCACACTCCTTCAAAGCCATCCTGAGAGAAAAATGCTCTCCACTTGACCTGGAGCCCCTGGAAGGAGGTCTCAAAGGGAATCCTTCTCTTTAGAAACTTTCAGTTAACTGTACAGGAAAGGCATTTTTAGGATGGGAGCGCCTTTCCATAAATGGACAAATTGTTTCCTCTGGACCTACTGAGAGGCCGTTTTTCAGGAGATGAGGAGGACCGGGGAGAAGGAGCTATATATCCAACTCTGCTCTTGGCATGTGAATCGGGAGAGGGAGCAGGCCCTCCTCATTTACCTCCTTGCTTGGTACAGGCTCCCAGCAGGTTGACTACATTCAGATGGTGGCCAATGTGGGTCAAGATCTTGAGCTCAGTCATCAGAGCTTTGTACTCACTGGCTGTGGCCCCCTCTGTGTGAGAAACAAGGAAGAGTCAGTGCGACAGGACAATGGGGCTCTTTCCGCTGGAGGCGGCATTCCTGCCCTCCATATTTGCCAATGCTCAGCCGGTTGCTTCATTAACTTCCCCACATCTGCAGAAAGGCCCGGTCTCCAGACTGTTTTCATTACTCCCTCCCTCCAACATCCTTTTGATTACAGTAAGGCCCAGAAGCAGTGGTGGGGTTAGTCACTGGGCATTTCCTCTTGGTGGACCTGGTCTGCTCAGCAATGCGCTGACTCAGAGCTGGGCACCTTGTGAAGGCGCCTTCCAAAGGCTTCCGCTTGGCAGAACCAGGCGCAGCAAGAACCTTCCAGACAGGGGATGTGCCCACACCTCCCCTCTTTTTCTCACTTGCCCCTCTTTGAAGAGTTACAAAGAAGGAGCACCAGGGGTCTGCAAGAGTGGAATGGCCACTTCTGTAAACATCTTTGCAATGTGTTATTTTCTCCCTATAACCTTTTCCTCCCTGGAGTCTGCAGGGTTATCTTGAGTTGTAAGGATCCATAAGCATCTGACTTCAACTTCATTCGCAGAGATAAACAACATCACTCTAAGATTTAGCAGAGTCTAAAGCCTAAATTAAGTTTGTTCTGTTTGTTTTCTCCCTTTCTTTTTTTGGTGGTGGTGGGGAGGGGTGTCTTTCTTATTGGTTAATTTATAAGGCATTTACAAAATTTAAAAAATAAAGTCATATAATCTTGCTGTAAAATATTCCAACAATATGATTTATACAGAGTAAAAAGTCAAAGTCATTCCAACCGCTTACTTCCCTAGACTTTTTTCTACATATTTATTAACATATATACCTACTTAAAGGTCTTTTTGTTTTGTTTACATAAATGGAATCCTTTCTATTTTTTTAAGATTTGCTTTTTAATATGTCAGAGACTTTTTCCATTCTTGTTAGTTGATTAATAGCATTCTTGACATTCGAACTGTCTCTAGTTTGTGTGTGTGTGTGTGTGTGTGTTTTGCCATTACAAATAATGCTGTAGTAGATAGCCAATGTGTAATCTTTGTACACATATGCAAGTATTTCTGTAGAACAGTCTGCGAAATGGCCAGAGCATGTGCATGGTATTTCATAAACACAAATCATTTTTAAATTATTTTTTAAGTAATAACCAGATAAACACTAGAAGCTTTCCAAGGGGGTTGAGATTGGCTCACAGTAGATGCTCAACAAATATTTGTTAGAAAAATAAACACTGTGAATACTCTTCTCATTTCAGACATGGGCATGAGGCCCAAAAAGGTTAAAGGTTCTGCTCAAGGGCACTTTGAAGGAGCTTCTGACTCACGGCCTATGTCTGACATTCTGTCTTTTCAGTTTCTCTTGAAACAGATGGCCAACCAATTCGAGCAAGAAAGCTGAATGAAAATGGTTTTTAGGAATTTTATATAGTGGGTGATTTGGCAATCTTTTAAAAATCAAGGCTCATGGCTTAAAAAGATAAGCATTTATAAAGATATTGCAAATGCTGTTTCTGTATTACAAAGAATACATTTTGGGGGCCTTTAAAATTTTTCAAGTCAGCATCATCCCCCTCAAACTCATCAGTCCCTGCATGCTTTTATGCCCCTTCGGCACAGAGGGGAAAAAAACCAAGCTCTCTTCCTCGGATTGTTCCATTTACAGGCAGGTGTTATCTTGGGTGGACAATAGACAAGCATGGGCAGCAGACCCGCCTCTCCAGGAGATGGTGTGTGGTTAGTACAGGGAAATGGGACCAGCTAAGGAAGCAGATGCTTCCAGATGGAGTTTCAACTTCGTTCAAGGTTGGATATCAGGTTGCTTCCATAACTTGGGCTAGGACCATGTTAGGATTTTGGAGCAATGGGCCATTTCCTGGAGGCCAGGTCTCGGCAGCCCCTCTTATGTAGCACTGTGCGGGGGAGGGTTGGGGGGGGCTGTGCCTGACTTTTGCACTGGTGAGCTGTGGGGCCTTGCAGAGGCGATCTAACCTCTCAGAGCCCTGTTTCCTCATCCACCAACTGGGAAAATAATATCTACCTCAAAAGGCTGGAGAGAGAAAAATAAGAAAAATGGCAATTTCATGTGGTTCAACCTAACACATGAAAGCACTTAGTCTGGTGCTTTCTCATACAGAGGACATGTTGATGCCTCTTCTCTTCAGCATCTGGGGCACGGGGTGCGGGGCAGGGTGCTGGAATGCAGGGATTCTCACAGGAAGGCCTGCCATCATCTGGGCAGTCCATTTTGAGCAGAAATCCTGATTCGTGGGTGTAAGAGTCCTTCTCTGGTTACTTTCTGGTAGAACGGTCAGGTTCCTTGAAGAGCTTTATCAGAGACTTTGCCTGACAAGGACAGCCTTTTGGGGTAGAAAATATCATTTCATGGGGCTCTTGCAATGCTGGCATCCATGCTGGAAGAAAGGAAGTGCTCTGAAATCTCCCTGTGCAAATGGTCCTTTCTCCTGGAGCCTTTCCTAGGGATCTGCTTGGCTGGGTTCATGGCCTCCCATGCCTCAGGAGCCCCTGGTCATATCTCGGAGAGTTGGGAAAGCTAGAAAAATGCCCTTTGGGTTTCCAGTACTTTTGGGTTTTGGAATCTGAAAATGAGTCAAAATGACATGAATATTCCATCATGAATGAAGAAATGAAGATTTTCCATACTTCAAAAGAAATCTGCATCTTTGAGATGTCTGATTTATGTAGTTTTCACGTATTTTCATTTTCATCTGTCTTGTGATGGTCATGAATCACAAAGTGATTCATGTGACTTCACTTCGCATGTGCTTCAGAGAGTGGTAGTATCTTTCAACATGAGAAAGATATAGATAGATAGATAGGTTTTTTTAATTTCTAAGAGGAAATGTTTTACGGGTAGGATCTGACAGTATAAAATAGTTTAGATTTCTGAGGATCTCAATTATTCCAGCTTCATAGTTTTACTTTATAGTTAGGTCAAGCCCCAGCTAAGCCTTTGGGATTTATGATGCACAGCTAATTTCCCATTACAAGGTCATAATGGATCATTCCAAAACTTTGAACCTGTGGTTATAGTGAGCTTAAGTCCCTAGTATTTTAGAGCCCACGATGGGAGAGGAGAAAGATCTTTGAGGTGACAGAAATTGTTTTCTCGTGGACAGTGCTGGGTTGTTTCATTTACAACGTTTATTCTGAGCTCTCACGGGCCTGATCTAAAACTCCTGAAGCCAAGGATGCTTCCAGCAGTGCAAGATCGTTATGTGACCCAAGCAGAAATAGCTGCGTCTATACCTAGGCCATATCTAGCTCGTACCAGTGTTTTGGGAATGCAACCGGTCCGCTAAAAGCCAAACTATGACACCCATACCTTTCAGCATTTTTACAGCCACAGTCCGGCATGTGGGTGATTTCTTAATGCCAAATGCAGAAGCTTGAACCACTTTTCCAAAAGCTCCTCTTCCAAGTGACTTGCCTGCAATGAAAAGAAGACATTGGTTTGTTTGCCAAGCCAGCAGGGTGAGGTTAAGTCTTTTTCTGGAAGAAAGTATCCTGTGTGCATATGTGAGCCATGTAGACTTTGAAAGGAATCCCCAGGGCGCCTGGGTGGCTCAGTTGGTTAAGCGACTGCCTTCGGCTCAGGTCATGATCCTGGAGTCCCTGGATCGAGTCCCGCATCGGGCTCCCTGCTCGGCAGGGAGCCTACTTCTGCCTCTGACCCTCCCCCCTCTCATGTGCTCTCTCTGTCTCAAATAAATAAATAAAATCTTTTAAAAAAAAAGAAAGGAATCCCCAATAAACTGAGCCCCAAAGAGTCAAAGTAAGGGACATGTTTCTGGGTATCTTCCTTCCACCTCTTCACTGGGCTTCTGAGGTGCCTTTGTCCCTTGCAGCGAGACTGGGCCCCTGGGAGGCATTTGGTTTGGGTGGGTGACTAGTTTCCTCTTCACCAAATCTTCCTGGGGAGTCTCTTCCATTGTTTAACATTACTACCAAGACTTCCCTTTGTTTAACCTAAGCCACTTCTCTTGCCTCTTGAGGTCATTTCTTCTGAGCTGTTTTCTTTTTTTTTTTTTTTCTTTTAAGATTTTATTCATTTATTTGAGAGAGAGAGAGAATGCGCCAGAGAGGGGAGGGGCAGAGAGAGAGGAGAAGTAGACCCCCATGTGGGGCTTGATCCCAGGATCCTGGGATCACGACCTGCGCCGAAGGCAGATGCTTAACCGACTGAGCCACCCAGGCGCCTCTCTTCTGATCTGTGTACGGCAGAAAGGAAGAAACAGAATGACAGTCACTGCTATCGGTTCTGAGAATGCCCCATAGCTACACAAAAATCATGAAATCATTTCTCAGCCTTCCTTGCCAGGCAAAATGCTCCCAGCTATCCTACCGTGCCCTTACACGATGTCGACATCTTCAGGGTTCAGCACATGAGCCTAGCAACCACTGGCAGCAATTTGTTTAAGCCACAGAGAAATGGTTGCCAAATGCAATAACAAAGTCAGGTTCCTTTCATGGCACCTGTCATGTTCTGCTGTGACCGCTGTTAATATGTTTCTTTCCTCACCTCTGCATGAGACCACTTGACTCAGAGGGGTGATAACCACGTCTGAATCTTCCCAGAAGCGGGCTCAGGACCTGGTGCACAGAGGGCCCCCTGTGCCTTAGTGCAGAAGGAAGAGTAGCCATTTGGGAACTTGTGAGCAAGTCTTGTACAGTTATGGGGACCTAGAGGAACCCTTGGGTTGGAGACCATGAAGGTGATGCTCCATGAAGAGAGCACCCCCCCTCCCCCTGAATACCTCAGCTACTTTTTATATCAGGGCACTTTCTTTTGTACCATCAGGACACAGGTAGCCAAATAGAACTGAGAGAAACAGTACACCTCAAGCATGATGTGGAAAAAGGAAGAGTGAGCCAAAGAAGTCACTCTCGCTTGGTTCTTCTGGGGGGGAAAGTAGCCAACACAATGCCATTGGCCAAAAGTAAATCCTGGCAGTTAGAATGTTAATTTGACACAAGCCCTCCTCTCAGCCTAGTCGTCTTTCTCAGACAACTGTTCCGATAAGGGGCCTTCAGTGAGTTAACCAACCGACCTTCCTTCCTTCCTTCTACTCCAATCCCTTCCCCCCCAAAGACATAGGTTTCTGTCTGTTTGTTTTTAAGATTCTTACAAAGCTTATAACGAAGCTTTCCTGCTTCCTTATCATATTACAACTTCATACTTTTATGTGCAGTGACTCAGTAACAAAGATGACATCACCCTGGCTCTGCTTAGTATCGTCCCCTCACTACCAACCACCCCAGGCACCCAGTCAGGACACAGGAAAAATTCAGTTACCGATGCGATCATAAGAGCCTCTTTGCAGCTGTCTCCTGGGGACTCCCTCTTCCTTAGGAGGGAACACTGGTGAAATTACACGCTTTTTCTCACATGTACTGGTAGCGACTGATAAAGATCATTCCTCCCAGAGTGGGCACCATGGACAGGGATATGGGCTCTGCTTCCCTCTTCAGATAAAACTGTCCATGAAATAGACCAGAATGGGGACTCTAGGTTTAAATAAAAGTGCCTCGGGAGGACCCTGCAGGTAGTGAATGTGGAAATCATGCGTGGAAAGAGCATTGGCAGCTACCAGACTTGTAAAGATGGGTGCATTTTGGTTGGATGCTCATTCCTTGCTTTTTTAGGGCAAAAAACATTTTCCCTCTGCCGTGCCTGATAGGAAAAGTGTCCCGAGCCTGACAAATATCCAGGTAATCTCTCTCTTAGGACATCTCCTACATACCACATACCGTGAAGACTCTTGCTTTGTTTGGGGGCAGGCAGAATCCTTTTCCCTTCCACAGCCTCAGCCCCACGCATTCCCTTCTTCACCCCGGCACAACACACTTGATTTTAACTAGTGTTTGGGGATTTTGCTTCTGTCAGTGAGAATAAGCTCGTTCTCACTTGGCTTCCCTCAGCCTTTTCATCTATTCTCTTGGAAGCTGACTGCTGCCTCATAAAACAGCACGAAGCTATTATGCGCTCTTTAATCATCTGATGCATTGGAATCCTTTGGCAGACCCACTGTTCCAGTTTCAGGGGAGCCCGGTGACCCTGGGCTTGACCTTGCCCGATCCCTCTTTTCCCTTAAAATCCTCCTTGGTGTTACCTACATGCCGCTAACTGGCTCGTCAAAGTGCTAGGTCATTGCCATACAATGAAAGGCTATTGGAATCTCCTTCAACAATGTCCTTGACTGGCCAGGGTGTCCCTGGGACACTCCAGGGAGAGTGCCTGGCAGCACTGGTCTTCTAAGAGGCAACACCAGCCCAGGTGCCGTCCCCTTGCAAATTCCACGTTCCCTGTGTAGTTTCCTAGATTAGGTAATTCTGACTTTATTTTGCAATAGAAAGCTGCGTTGTCTGACATTATCCCAGCTTCTGTGATACATTTGTAAGAGCTGACTTCTCCCTTAGGTTTAGTGAGGAAGCACTAACAAAACAGATTCCGTTCTTCCCGGATTTCAGGCATTTCAATGGGAGCAACACTTTTGACCCGAACTCCTACTGTATCTATCTATCAGGTACCATAAATGCTGACTTGTCTCAACAGGGCTGCTAGTAGGAACCAACAGAGTACAAAAAGCTGAAATCAGATGCCACTTGTCTGTGTATTTCCCTACACAGCATGTTTTTTGTATTTATAGCCCCATTGTAACTCTGCCCATCAAACCAGCTTTTCCTCTCCAACTATCCATAGTCTTGGTTACTTTCACTTGCCAGACATTACTTCAGATTACTTTCTGTCATTTATTTGGCTTCAAACCCCCCAAATCTTGGGCCTTTCTGCTCCCATGCTGGTAGGAGTAACATTCCTCTGGCCCTTGCCGCCGCGCTCTGCACTGGAAGACAGAGTGAGCTGACTTCACCCCCTTTCTCTCACCCATCAAAGACACTCACGTGCACATGAGCCAAATCATAACATCTGGCAACTCCAGGAAGGGAAAGAACCGTAAGAGAGATCTTCCACAAGGAGAACCTCCTGAAATGGGATTATCTAAACCCACAGAGGCCCCAGGGGAAATTTGGTGGAAGGATTAGCTTGGCCCCCAATGTGATACGGAGCACAGGGATACTAGGTGAAGGAGTGAAGGGATGGGACGAAAGCTCATATGTCCTATACAGGAAGAGGGATGTTTGATTGTGACTAATAACTCTGGAAAGCAATGTGGCCTGAGAATGGCTTACGGTTGTGGGAAAATTATCCCAGTTCCCTGCCAAGGTCACTGAAGGGCTGGGCTAGCTGCCATATAATTTAGACTTGCAGAAGGAACTCATCTAGTGTACCACCTGCCCTTAACTACTCTAAATTTAGATGATTTTTTTCCCCCTGTCAGCAGCCATTGCTGGCTTTTGCCTGTCTCTCCAGCTTTTCACTGATTTCTAATTTTCTTCCCCAAGCCAAACAGAACATACTCTTGGGGCCAAGTATTCTTTCTCATGTATGAAGAAATGTAAGCAGAGTCATTTCAAGGCCCAAGAGAACAAGAAGAAGAAGCATTTCTCCCTCTCCGTCCTGCCAGACACCCACTCCAATATAGTCTGCCTGTCGAGGGAGGGGAGGCATTGCCCTCGAATTCGGAACAACAGGCTCTTTCGCCGAGAGTGACAAGATCTGGGAACGCTGGATCCATGATCTCTGTTGCTAGTTCCAACTATTAATGATTCTGGCATACACAGGAGTGAGTAGAAATTTTTCAGAAGCCACAGTCCAAATATTTTGGGCAAGAGTCACAGAGGCTTCTTTGGTTTTGTACTACCCCAGGATGGAGATTAATTTGCGTTGTGACACTGAGCTGGAGGAAAGCACAGCTGCCTGATATTTACGCAGGAACAGTGGTCCTTGCTCTTCAAAAATGCAACTTAAATGACCCCTGGGACTTTCTTCTCTGGACATTTCGAACACCCACGGAAATTCCACGTACGTAGTCTATGGATTTGTGCCGCGGGGTTCTTTGACCCACAGCCTTGAAGGGGCACTGAAGGCTCTTTCCACGTGTTTGGCTGTGCTGTTCCTTGCCATCTTGAATTGTGTCACAAATTTCTAAGTCCTCAAAAATGTCCTTGTTTAGGAGTGCTTGTACTTGTAAGCCTTGTGGTGGCCCTGATCCCTGCCCTTCACTTATCTCCTTCTGCGGCGATCTCCGTCCCCCTTTGGGGTAGCGCACTCAGACATCTTTGTACCCCCCACGGCTTAGATGGGTGTCTGCTGCTCAGACAGGTGCTTAGAGACTGTTGCAAGAAAAAGCAGGTGCCCCCATCCCTTTTTTTTTTTTTTTAAGATTGTATTTATTTATCTGTCAGCACAAGCAGGGGGAGCGGCAGGCAGAGGGAGAAGCAGGCTCCCCACGGAGCAGGGAGCCCAATGCAGGGCTTGATCCCAGGACGCTGGGACCATGACCTGAGCCAAGGCAGCGGCTTAACCGCTGAGCCCCCCAGGCGCCCCTCCCCCGTGCCTTTGTACTGCCGTCCCAGCATTCTGTTAGAACTATTTACCTCTGTGCCCACCTCCCTTGCCATTTTGTGAGCGGCTGGAGGGGAGAATCCCGAGTCTAGGTGACTTTTGCAGCCCTCAGAGCACAGTGCTTTGTAGGCAGGAGGCGCTCAGTGTGGGTTTAGGAATCTGTTGGACGAATACATTACCCAGTTTAAGTCGCTCCCGGGCAAACTCCCACTTGCTGGCATCATAAGGGAGCCGCTCACACTGCTCGTCCAGGGGAACTTCGTCTGGGTCCATTATAATCGATAGGTAGTCCGTCTTTATTTCAGAAGAAGACTGAGAAAGAAAGAAAGAGATCTCAAAGTCACCAACAAGGAAACAACTTAAAAAACCCTGGATATCCAATTTAAAATAATACCCAGCAGCATCTGCTGCTATTTTGGCTCATGTGGTTGAAACCGTGCGGTTGGGTACAGAAAGTACCCCTCCGCATACACGTATGTACATCACACTTCCCATTAAATAACTCCTTACTCTTCTCACGCCGCATTTCTGTAGGCTGGTTCCGCCATATTGTCTCAGATAATATGCACCCAGATGGTCGGTGACCTTGTTGCTTGTTCTTAGACAATGATCAGATGATAGTCCTTCCCCAAAACATGCAAAGCATTTTTATAAAATCATTCCAAATAAGTGACTGAAAATAACTTCCCATGGCCAATCTGTACAAGCAGGGATATACGTCACAAGCCAGGCCAACGGTGAGAAGTGTGACTGTGGCTTTTCCGCATTTGCAAGAAGGGCCAGAGGTGGCGAAGTGAACCCAGGAGCTCTGGGACAGTTGAGAGGCATATTTCATGTGAAGTATTTAAATATACTCAGAAGGCCTGGCCCCTTGGTTGCTGCAGGTACCTAGAAACACTATGGGATCCGTTGGTGAGAACAGAATAAGATTTACCTTCAATAAGAAATAGAAGTTGACTATTTCAAAGGCCGAGGAGTCTATAAGGCATGGGACTTAAACACAGCCATGTCCTGAGCTTTGGCCATTAGTAGGATTGTCAAATAAGTAAGGCGGGCATCTGCCTTCAGGTGCTTATTTTATCTTGGTAATGGACATCAAGCCCAGAAAACATCCTTTATTTCATAAGCATAGATAAGTGGATTTACATTTTGTGTCTTAGATTCCCATCAATGAATTTATTGCCTGTTGATTCAATGTAGAAGTGATGATGGCATTTCTATGGGCAGTTCAGAAAAGAAGGTTGCTTACCCATATAAGGTGGGTTTGGGTAAGTCTTGCCTAGAAGTTACAGCAACTTCATTTCCGTGAGTTTTGGAACCCTCTTGCGTTGCCCTTCCCTAGGCAGGACAGAGTTCAGGAGAGAAGTCACCCTCTCCATCCACACCATTTCACGCTCGCCCGCATTCTTCAGCTCTTACTCACCCTGTTCTGGGCTGTCACCGCTCACCTCATCCATCACTTGCAATCGGTCTCCTTCTCCTAGAAATTATCACTAAAATGTGTGACAAATAGCTCAAAGCAGAAAGATCTGCCTGGCCTCCACGGCGAGTGGAAACCAGAGAAAGATACGGAGCACATTTGTCACGAGCTGCATTTGCCACTGGTGCTAATCTGTGAGGGCCAGCCCATCAGACCCTCGTGTGAGTCTGGGAAGGAATACAAGTTCCTCTCCCAGGGTGCTGGATGTGTACTAGAGAAGCCATGTGAGTAGGTTTTAGGACTATACTTTTTGATGTCCAATATAGCCAAGGCCGTGAGAAAAAACCTCCAATCTTCAAAGAGCCCAGGCTAGCTGAAGCCTAGCAAGGAACGTGTCAGTTTTGGGACCACACGTGGGGAGGTTGGTGGAGGTGTTGAGAGAGACAGGGGATCAGGCAATGAAAGACAATCTCCCCATGGAATTTTATGGTTTATCTCAATAAGGCAGATGAGAGGGAACACCAGACAAACCTCAAGGAAGGGCTGGAGGAGAGTCGGATAGTAGAATCTTAGTTGACAAATATTTATTCTTTCAATTGACATTAACACTGAGCAGCTACTAGGTGTTAGGCATGGAAGTTGCACAGCTCAGTGCTTCGGGGCCCAGGCATTGAGCTGGCTGCCCGGCTCTGAGTCACAGATCAACTCTGGACCAGCACCTAACCTTGGCAAGTCGCTTAACCTCTCTAAACCTGGTATCCTTATCTGCGAAATAATGATAATGACGGTGCTTATCTCCCAGGCTTGTGGTGAATATTGCATGAAATGATCCATGTCAAGCTATGAGAACGGGGCCTGGGACACAGTAAGCATCCATCAATGCTAGCTCTAATTCTAACGCTGACCTATGCGGCGTGGGGGTAAAAGGATAACATCCAGTCCATATCAATGAGGAATTCACTTGCGGTTACAGAAACCACATGGAAATAGTTTTTGAGGGCCTGTATCTCTTTACCTCCCACAATTAATCACCTTTCAAATTCCCTAAGGATCCTCTTCTGGAAGGAATCATCTCTTGCTCTCATCCTTTCTTATTGACATCAAGATTTCAGATTTTTAGAAATACTAGGGCCATCTTCAATTTAGTCCCAATGCACCTTTCCAGCTTTATTTCCACTCTGCTCCTGTGGGGTCCTTCCTTCCTCTGGGGAGTGGGGAGGAGGAGAGTGGGCTGCCTTTTTCTGCTGCCTTCCTTCCTGCCACAACCTTCGAATTCGTTCTCTAAACTTCATTTTCTCTCAAGTTTTTTCTCCCCCTCCCTCCTTTGTAGCCTTTGGACCTCCCTTCCAGATTTGGCAAGCTTTGCTTTTGTTAGACCTACTTCCCTATGCGCTCTGTCTCCCCTTTCAAATGCCGGTGGTGTGGCCTTTGTGTCCTTCTAAAGCAGTGGCCTTCACTGTCACGTCCCAAAACCAGCTGATGCCTGATGTTACATATTACCACAGAAGGCTCCTGCTTAGCCTTGCCTCTCATATCGACGCTATAAAGTACACCTCGTTGGTTTTGGTTACTAAGCCTAAGGTCGCACAACCTGGGTTCAACACTCAGCTCCAACTCTAACTAGCTTTGTGACTTTGGACAAGTTATTTTACCTCTCTGAACCGTACTTTCTTTCTGTCTACAATGGGAATGATAATATATCTACCTCTTTGCATTTTTGGAAGGATTAATTGGGATACTACATGAAGAGCTCGTCATGAGACCTGGCATGATAACAAGGACTAAGAAATCTCTAGAAACGGAGGAGGCCTCCTTGACACTTTTCAGGTCCTGTTGATTTTACCCACTAAATATGTCTTGAATTCTAATCCCTTAGACTAAGAGCTACTATCGTTTCTTACTTGGGTTACTAGAAAGTCTTCTGGTAGGTTCCTCTCTATGCACCCTCACCTCCTCTGGTCCATTCTCATAGCAGCCAAAATTCTCTTTCCAGACACTGCTCTCTTACACTGATTGCCTCCTTTTGCTTAACAACCCCCACCCCCACGACGCCAGGCTTCCTTTTACTTCCAGAACGCAGACTAAATTTCTTACCTCAGCCTGCAAGGCCCTGTGTGGCCAGCCTTTGCATCCTCTCCTCTCCCGCCTCACCTCCTACCTTGTTCCCTCCATGGCAGGCACACAGGCCTCCATCAGGCTCTCGTTCCCAAGGCGTCCCTGTCCTGCCCCAGCCTCACACAGGCTTTCCCTCGGCCTGAAGCCCTTTTCCCTCCCTCTGGGCCCGACTGCCCGCCCCTTACGGGACATCTTTCAGTCAGCTGCCTCTAGCGCGGCAGGTTCACATTTGTCTGTGCAACTGGTGAAAGCCAGGCTCCTCTCCAGACCGCACACTCCGCGTGTCCTCTCCGCTGCCACCCAAGGGCCTGACACCGGGCCTGATGCTCCTCGTGGAGCAGGTGCACGGTAAATGTTGGAGGCATGAATGAATGGATGAACGCTTGTCGGCTCTTCTCCTCCGGACTGCAGAGAAGCAAGTGGGGCTGCAGGCCTGATGATAGAGATCTGATGTCCTGTGCTCAGGCTGAACCTCGCAGCAAAGAACGTAGTTTTGTGGTGGGGCTCAGAGGGCACGGATCCGCCGTGTGCTGTGTGCACTCCCATAATGTTATGAGACGTAAGTCAGAGGGGGTCTCTATTTTGCATTTTCCTTTTCATTTCTTGGCAGAGAATAAGAAAGACTTTGCAGGCCTTATGCTGAATTTAAAGATTTTATGACATATCTTTATATCAAAAACATCCCTTCTGTTTCTGGGAAATAGTCCTCTGTTCGTTGCTCTAGCTTTGGGTGTGAACACTCCCGTTAACGGTTGAGAGGCATTTTAATGATCTATGTTTGGTGCTCCCCAGGTCCGAGACAGAAGCCAGGGGGCAAGGGGATTAGAGTCTAACATTGGCTCCGCGCCTGCTCTGGCCGTGAGAAGCATTTTAGAACATTATGTAAAAAGGAACGTAGAACTTCATCTGAAATGTTCTTACCCTTTTCAGTTTTCGGATAAAGAGCGTTAACAGGAGCCAGAAGAGGGTTGCAGCCACACAGGTGCATGTCAGAGTGATGAGCTCCAGGTTAGACTTGTCCGAGGTTCCTGGAGAGAGAAAACCATCAGGCTGATCCTCAAAAGGCACCGTCCAACTTAAGAGTCTTTGTGATTCTAGAAAACGGGTCTGATGCCCCTACATGGTTCATCGTGGCGAACGCAATCTGCTGGTGCAAGAGTTAGTCTGGGACAGGTCCTCTCTTACCTTCTGAGTCAGGCAGGGTGCGTGATGTTATCATCATGAACTCACGCAGAAATGAAAAGACTTTCCAGAAATTCTGCGGTTGAGTTTGCAAACTCTGTAATCCCAGAAATAGCTAATTAAAAATCAGAGGAGAAATTTTTAAAAAGGAAAAAATTAAGACAGGAACAAAAGCCCATTAAAGTGCTAAATCTGGAATACGTGAAATCTCCCTAAAGGGTTTTAGAGGAAATTCTAAAGAAAAAGAAAAAAAGTAACAAAAATGACATAAAAGCGCTCCTCTGGGACTCACAAAATTCCTCTACTTTGATTTTAAAAATAAAAATAAAACTCAAGGACTGTTAGAGGTGCCTGCTCGCTGCTTTTGGAACAGTCGGGCCAAACTGCCCACCTCCTGCTCACCACTCCTGGCTCCGTTTCTGACCTTCGCAGCAGCAGCTGACCCTGCAGGGGGGCTGGGATGCCAAGGGGGTCCTTCCCAATCGCCTCATTTCCCGGAATCACACACAGATCAAAAGCTGAGCAGTTTCTCCACCACCAAAAAGAAACGACCCAAAGCGTTCAGGAGAAGCCTCCAGAGAGGAAGATCTTTGGGATTTGGAAAGGAATGCCCCAGTGGGCCAGGACAGTGGTTCCCTACTTACAGACTCCAGGGGACAGTTTCTGGAGAATTCTAAAGTAGTGCCTCATCCTTTAACCTCATTACAGGGAGACAGAGGCTCCCTATTAAGCTAGGGAAGAACAAATGGAACTTATTCTCTTTAGAAATAATGATGTGGGGGCACCTGGGTGGCTCAGTCAGTTAAGCATCTGCCTTCGGCTCAGGTCATGATCCTAGGGTCCTGGGATCGAGCCCTGAGTTGGGCTCCCTGCTCAGCAGGGAGCCTGCTTCTCCCTCTCCCTCTGCCTCCTCCCCCCTGCTCATGCCCTGTCTCTCGCAAATAAATAAATAAAATCTTTTTTAAAGAAGAATGATAGGAATGGTATCATGGAGCACTTACCATGTGCCAAGCCCTCAGAACCGCCCCATGAAGTAGGTAGCAATAATATCCCCATTTCCTAGACAAAGTGCTACATCTCGTGGGCTCTTTGTTTCAATTCAACAAGAAGGTACAGACTCCTACTGCAGGTGACAGTCAGTCTGGAGGAGATGGGAAGATGAGCAAGAGAAAGTTGTCACGCTTCGGGGGCTCACTGCCAACCTAACTGAGACGTAAGGCAAATACAAAGAAATGAGGGTTGAGGGAATCTAACGCTTTTTGGAAGAGGCGACATTTGAAATGGATGGTGGCCTACAGAGATGAGGCGGGGAGGGCACAGAGACAGAGGGGACAGCAGGAGTGAGGACCCAGAGCTGGGAAATGACGGGGCGCACGTGGCAATATACAGGCAGGCCGGGACCCGACTGCAGAGAGTTCGAGCATCTGTGTGAAGGGTTTAAACTCCATGCTGCCTGCGGGCGGTTGGAGCCAGTGAAGTTTCTCTGAAGAACAGCAAATGCACAAGTTAGAAAGCCGAGCCGCTTCCTTCTTCCCTCTATCCATGTGCTTCCTGCAGCCCACGGTCCCTGCTGCAGTGGATCTTTCCATCTAGAGGGGAAATGCACATTTTCTACCCCAACCACTCCAACACAAAGTCCCACCCCTTCTCCTCCCAAGGCTCAGGAGATTGTCCCCTCCTGTGCTGCCAGGCTCACTGCCTACCTCGAGGCCCTGTCACCTGGACCACGGCACCAGCTTCTTGACCCGCCTTGACTCCCCCCAGATCTCCTCCTCGCTGAGCCAGCGTGACTTTGCTTCTGTCTAAATGCCATCACTGCCCACCTCTGCCCCCATGGCTGTCAGGATAAAAATCCAAATCTTTGGATCCTTTGTGCCCAACCTTGCTTGTCTCTTCAGCTTCATCTCCTACCATCCTCCCACTTGCTCCAATCACATCAAAATACTTGCAGTTTCTTAAATTGACCAGTCCTCTTGCACCTCCATGCTTTGGTCCTCACTGTTTCTCTACCAGAATGTAAGCTGCCAGGGGCTGTGGCCACATTCCCGTCCCCGCTCCTCGGACTGGGTGAGTGAGTGGGTACATTATGATTGGCTTTGTCGCCAAAGAGCTTCATGAAGCTTTCAAAGGGTTCAGGGTCAAATTCCTGTTCATGGGCATTAATCCAATAAACACATGGAACACCACCTATGTTGCAGGCTCTGTTCTAGATGCTGGTATATGGTGGTAGATGAAAGGTATGGTCTGGAGTTCACAGTCTGGCATTCACATCTGAACAGGTGAATAGGTTCAAAGTTCCTATCCAAAGCAGCAGAATGTAGGATCGTGGTTCTCCTGTTCACCGCTCTGTCTCTGGTGTTTAGAAGAGTGCCCAGCACTGAGTAGGCATCCTGAATATACTGGGTGAGTGAATGAATGAATGAATGAATTTGGCTTCATTTGCTGCATTGTTAGCTTGTGGCCGTTTCCCTGAACCTCATGAGAATGAGAACAGCTTTGTTGAAGTTTCGAAGTATGATAAGTTTTTCTCTCTGTATGCATCCTCTCGATGGGAATATTGTAAGCTCAAGTTAATATGAGTTTGGCTTTCCTCTCCCATGTGTATTCACAGCTGCCCTGCTGTATTCACACACACACACACACACACACACACACACACACTCACACTCACACGTGCTCTCACACTCACACTCTTCTCTGCTTATGCTGCAAATAAGTTTTGTGGAATCTTACTGGGACCTGCTTGGGCCATAGTGGCCTTGGGCTGTTGGGGATGCTGACAGCATCTTGAGACATGGCACTGTCTGCATCAAACCTCTGCAGAGGCCTCCTGCCCGGAATGCCCTGGGAGAGGCCCCCTCCCATTGTGGGAACTTTCCCACTGCATTCCACGGGGCAGGAAGTTGACCCCCAAAGTAATTCCACAGCCCTTACTCAGGCAAAATTCCTTTCAGTGGGACCAAATGTGTTTGTGTGCACTTACACATTTAAAGAACTCATTAAGAAACCTCTTCAAGATGAACATTTATTACAGGCGAAAGATCTTTCTAGTGTTCTATCCCTGCTTACTGAAAACTAGCATGGGAAATTAACAGGGTATCATGCAGTATCTGTGCTCTTTCTGTCTCACTTGCTTTATTTGGAAAGTAACCATTAGGATAGTCTTATGTTGAGGAAACCGACTTAAGTCAGCAACATCTCTTCCTATGCAGCTCTTGGATGTTTTCTCAGAGGTCAAACATCCCCACACTGGTCTGACTAGACCCAGCTTCAACAGGCTGGTGACAGCTGATGAGCTCAGTCCATGAAATGGCCCAGCTGCACATGGCAGGGGGAAAGGAGGCGAGAGGAAACGTGGGTGGGGTTGACACTAACTAGGAGTGGGCCCTGGGGCTCGAACCGCTGTGCTCATAGGCCGTGTGTGCAAGCCTGCATCAGAGCACGCTGCGAGGTTATTTTTATATGGGAGAGTGACCAGACTGTGGCTCCTCTGAAGAGTTAGGGGGACTGTACTTTTTTTTTTTTTTAAAGATTTTATTTATTTATTTGAGAGAGAGAGAATGAGATAGAGCATGAGAGGGAGGAGGGTCAGAGGGAGAAGCAGACTCCCCGCCGAGCAGGGAGCCCGATGTGGGACTCGATCCCGGGACTCCAGGATCATGACCTGAGCTGAAGGTAGTCGCCTAACCAACTGAGCCACCCAGGTGCCCGGGTGACTGTACTTTTTATTCCAGACCGCTAACCCTGCTGCACAGAGTCCTCCCTGTCAGTTACCCTCTGAGGCTCCAGACCACCCCTCCTGGGACAGGAAGTGCGGATGCCCCCCCAGGGGAGGCACTGAGTCTTGAGGGGTGACGTGCCTAGTCTAGAGTCTGTGTAACCGCAGTGGCTGGCTACCCTGCCCTGAGCCTTTGTGATGGTGACGGCCGCTCCCTCTGCCCAGGGCTGGACTCTGGGTTGCGGCCGCAGCCCCCAACCCTGACACGCAGGGCCAGGAAACTCAGCTCTCGCAGTAGAACCGGTGGTGCTTCCCAGGAGGTTAGGAAAGCTCCCCAAGCACAAGACCAGGGCCTCTTGCTCTGGGACCTGCCTTGACTTGAGATGAGCCCAAGTGTCACCAGGAAAGGGGAGGAAGCAAGCAGCTATGTCTTAGACCGAGGACCCCGTGCCCCAGCGGGAGCCATTCTTTTCAAGGTTCCCCCCAACCCCAGAACTCCCTTTCCTTTTTTTTTCTTTTTTTTAAATCCTTCTTAGTTTTTGGACTTCAAGTACAAGATAATTTGGTTTCCATCCAAACCTAGTGCATATATATCACAATTTGTCTCTTCTTTCTAAAACTACTCAGACTTTGGCCAAATACCGATCGTTTTCTACAGACAAATGGGTCACTACTTGCCCTGAGACATTTGCCTCATACCTGCCAGGGTGGCTTAGGTGTTGTTCTCTGGTTCTATCATTATTTTAATTTGAGGTAACTGTTCATTTGGGTTTATTGCCCATTAAATTCTTAAGACATCAAGAGATGGGTGTGTTTCATGTTCATTTGGCATCTCCAGCACTGGCCCAGTGGAAGTCTCAATATTTATATATAGATGAAAAGAAAATCAATCAGATACACTTAGACCTGATCTCCCACATGAGCCAGTCAAGAAGTGCTACTTCGTTTTATCTAAAATCCAATAACCAACAATCCAGTTAACCTTATTACATAATTTCTCTAAGACTTATTGGAATATTAAAATTGGCTCTCCTACTATTTATGAAGCTCTTTGGGAATCTTTGTACACCAGTTTGGAACCCCTCTTAAGAACAGAGAACTACTGTATTCAGATTAAATTATAAGTAA